TGTTGGGATGCATCGATGCACTCCTTATGCATCGATGCACCGATTGCATTCGATGTTTCACTATTAATGGGATGCATCGATGCACGAATTGCATTCGATGTCTTTATTTCAAAAATAGTGCATCGATGCACTACCAATGCATCGATGCACATTCATATAATTTCTGGGTTTTAACCTTGATGCATCGATGCACCATGAATGTGCATCGGTGCACTCTGCCCAGAATCCTCTTTTTGAACCCGAAAGTTCATTCATTTGGATTAAATCCTTCATGTTTAATCCCCTTTTTCATTCTTAACTCTAGTACACATCCTTAAACCAATTTATACTCATTTATTTCATCTTAAACCTTCAAATCCTATCATTCATATGTAATTCAAGAATTACATTAATAAATCAACATGTTTGAATTCCGTTTTTAACACTTCGTATATCTTAACTAGATTGATGACAAGTCAAATATAACTTTCAATTCTAGTTATGAACTCTATTCCAAGATTTCATTTAATAACTTCAAATCTTAAATCTCTCCTAACTCAATCATCCTTTGATGTTAAGATAACTTAAGCTTAGTTATCATCTAATAATCAAAACCCAATATTAAATTTAACAAGAAACTCAATAATCAGAAATCTTACCTTTGCTTTGGTTCACGCGTACAAGGAAGAAAGAAGAAGAAGATAAGTCTGGAAGCCTTTGGTTCTCTCCTTTTCAACCCACTTGTATTCATATATATCCTTATCCATTGTTTAATTAATTGATCCTTGCAATGACTCTTTTGCCCTTCCATTCCTACTTCCTTTCAATTCAATCCTACACAATCATTTACATATATATCTTTATACTATTCATTCATTCTATTTTAATCACCAAAATTTGAAACTTTTCAATTTAGTCACTAACCCGGTATTGAGGATGTTACATGTTGAGTGTTCATGTTAAGTGGATTATACAACAACAAAAAATTTTGTACAGATCAACCCAATATTCTATCGAGCCAATTGGAACTCTACTAAGCCAAGCTCTTGGTCGATCACGCAAAGAATATGGAAATAATTTAAGCTTCAACATATATTCATTCACTTATTTTTACCTAAAATAATCACATACTTCTAAGAAAACACGAATGTTTTGCCTTGCATCTTCATGAGGCATGCCAATAAATTTTCCTATTGAGTTCAACATGTTGAACATGACTGGTTTGAGCTCAAAATGGCTGCCTGAATATCGGGAGCTGCAATCCCTGGATTGAGATTATCCAAGATAGGAGCTAAGTGATCTCGAATAGTTTTCGGTCGCAGTACAAGTACATTATTCTGATTTTTGTAGCATATAGATCTGTAGGATCTTGAACTTGCTGAACTCATTGGTTTTGAACGACATACTTGACTCTATTTGCACTTTGAGCACGTCGTCTCTAACAAAATAAATGTTCAATCTCAAGTACTAGATGATACAGTGGTTCCTCAACAGTTTTTCTAGTCATAAAATAGCAAAACTGGTAAAGTAAACAAGAATAACAAGTAATACTACAAACAAAAACAAACAAACAAAAAAACTAATGCTATAACTAAACTTAAAAATCACCAATTGTCAATCCTCGTTATCGGCGCCAAAAACTTGATCGCGTATGTGAGTGTACTAAATATAGCACGTAACTTTGTGCAAGTATACACAATTGATGCAAGTAATATAGTAGAGAGTGAGTATCGTCTCCACAGGGATTTGAGGGATTTTTCAAGCAAGCCGTAGCAAAAAGTGTCACTAACTAAATCTAAGTATATATGTATAATGATATAGACAATTGGGAATGTTGTGTCAAAATGGAATTTATAAGATTTAGGGAATGTGATGGTAATAATGCAAGTATCAAGAATAAAATTTTTAGGCAAAATATAAAGTAACAGTTTAAGAATTATAAAGCAAATAAAATTAAAAATTTGGCAAACTAGTAAGATAACTGAAAACCTCAAACAAACAAGCTACACTAGGGATAATTGGTAGGGTCACTAAGGAATCCTAAGCCTTGTCTTCTGGGATGGTTTAAACTTATATTGCTTACTTGCTCGACAGATTTTGCTAAAAGTGTTCTTAGGCTATCTATAATAAGGAACCTGAAAGAGAAAAATACTACGACAATACCTCTCAGCGTGAACTGCGACAAATTTCTATCGATTAAGTACTACCCCTTTTAGTCGCTAAAATCATATCCTTATATCTAAGGTGGATTAAAACCTAGTTAGCAGTTAAGCCCTCATTGATCTCACTTAGCTCTCTCGATACTAAACATCAAACTTAAGAACTGCTACTCTCGTAAGCTCTTACAATCCTAAGTAAATAAATACAATGAAGAAAGAAAATATTAACATAAAAATATAAACCATTAATTAAAAAAATTAATCATCCATAACTAACCCACACTAAATAAGGTTAGTTCAAGGTAGTGTACAAATCATCCAAAGAAATAATTTGTTCCTTACAACCCATAAAATGAAAAATGAAATAAAAGCACAAGGATAGAGAAAACTCCTAACACGTGTTCTACTGCGATCTCTCTTGGGCCACCGTGAACCACCTTAGCAAGCTAGCTTCTCTCGAACGCTTAGCTTGCTACCCCCTTGAAGCTTTTATATAGAGGACACAACGAAGAAGATGAAAAGGGGAAGAAAAATGAATGCTTTGATAGCTGTTTTTCACTCTTGCCTTCTTTACCCTTTTCCCAAAAAGACTTTCTCTTAATTCTAGGATATCCTTATCTATTTATACTAGGGGAATGACCTAGGGTTTTGTGCCAAAATTCCCTTTATACCCTAGTGTTATTCCCTTCACGAGAGGGGGTGTAATGATGATTGTGGTCCTCAAACGTAGCTGGCAGGAGGGGACCATGTGTAGGCTGGCTTTTCATAAAAAAATCTTCAGCTCTCTTTTATCCTTTTTTGCTTACAGAAATGCTATCCAGACTGCTACAACAATTTTTCGATGCTTCATCAATCCAATATGCTACAGAAAATCCCTTTGCTCTCCTCTGCTTTCAATCACCTACACATCAACAAACAAACACAACCTTCCCCATTAAATATCACAAAATAAAATGATGCATCATAATAGTTGTACCACATGCAATTATATGATCCTAAATGCATCTATATGAACCTAAATGAGTCTTAAGACAACCAGTAACCTAAGTGAAAAGGCATATAATATAGTCTTTTTAATGGGGTTATCATAATTCATTAAACACCCTTAGTTATAAAAGATATCTTTTAAACCCCCTTAAAGGTTAGCAAATGGAATATTGTCATAAGACCCATAAAACGTATTCATATTGAACATGTACATTACATGTAGATCATACTAGATATTTATAAATATATAGAGTTCATACAAAACCTTTTAATACTTAATATGTCTTGGTCAAATAGTTTGGAGGCTATAGTATTTTTTAAAAAAATTGAAGTTCAATTAAAAGTTTCAAAAGAATGAGGATTTAATTAATTATAAAAAATTGAAAGTTTTAATGAGAATTTAGAAAAATAGGAGATTTGATTACAAATATCAAAACATTTTGAAGGGCATATTATAAATTTTCCAAATTCTTGAGGACGGGACCTAATCCTTATTAGGCTCCGCCCGTAGATGATGATGGGATGACCCACTTGTTTCATCTAACAAAATAACCTCTGTTAATTAATTTAAATCCTTTATGAGTTTAATGCCGTAAATTAACTCAATATTAATTTAGATTAGAAAACTAAATAAACAAAGTATATTATAGGTATTTATGCCTTCATTTTTAAGGTAACATTAACGGCTAACAGAATTCGACTTGACTCAGAAAAATTATTTTTTTAACTCGATATTAATAATTCCAGTTGGGTTGTAAAATATAACTCGAGTAACTCAACTTTTTTTAATAATTAGTTGATTGATTATCAAATTCGAATCGAGTTCCTCACTATGTATGATATATATATATCACATATGAAGAAATATATATGTATATCGTATGTAGTTATAGAAAATCATTTAAATTGAAATCAAATAGTATCATAACATTATAAATATTAAAATTAAATTTAAACAGAAACTCGAATGATTCAAATCGACTAAAAAAATTAAATAAAGTATGAGCTATAAAGTAAAACTTGTCAACTCGAATAACTCAAAATTTATTTATTCAACTTTACTTGACCAAATTGTACAATTCTTTTATCACTTGACTCGAATAGCTAAATTTTTTTAAAAATAAAGCTTGAACTATAAAAAAACTACTTAAAATTATACAATTATTTACTGTAACTATATATTTTCAAAAGATAACTTTTAGCACTTTGAATTTTACAATATTTTTTAACTTGATCCCTATTTTGTTTTGTTAATGCTAATACTTATATTTTTGATTCAATTTTAATTGTTTTAATGATGTGTGTAATATAGCATTACTTTGAAGTTTCGAGGACTAACATGAGAATAACTACCAAAATCACATATAATAGGATTATAACAAAGTTTATAGATTAAATCGAAGAAATGAAGTTAAAAGACTTGTTTCACCTAAAAAAAACTTCGATTTTTGACATCACTACTTGTAAAGAATTATTTTTTAGTATCTAATTACACTAAATCAAAGAATAAGGATTAAATTGTAAGATTTAGTATAGTATAGGGACACTAATTAGAGCGTTTGATTTTGATGATGAGAGGGTGGCCCATATGGACCCATTAGGCACAAATAAACAATGTTTGAATCCAAAGCCCACCAAAGTCTTTTTCAGAATCCATAAATTTTGAAACTTTGATTTTGTTTTTATCTGTCATTTCCCGAAGAAGAAGGTATTTTTTTTTCCAATTTCAAAAACGAGCGGGCCTTATTTTAAGCTCAGGCGGAGAAGCGTAGTCTCATTCAAACCCAGAGCTGTCAATTCTTCTTCTTCTTCTTCTTCTTCTTCTTCTTCTTCTTCTTCTTCTTTTTCCCCTTTTTGAGTGATTAAATCCTTTTTTTTAATTGGGTCTTCCACGTTTCAACATTCTAGCAATGTCCAGAGAGATTTCCAGCTTTGGGTTCGTCTCCAAAAACGCAAACGAGAACGAGTTCGAGACCTCCTCGAGTTCAGCTCATTTCCCTCCTCCCAGAACCCCGCTGAACTCAATCCCAGATCCATCTCAATACCAGAAAGAATCCCGGAATCAATATGAACACGATGTTGTCGATTCCAGGGACAAATCGGATACCACCAGAGCACTTCTTAGAACCCCCAAGCTTACGACTCTCCGTGGGAAGCTGCATTCAGAGTCTAACTCCGCTCAGAATACTCCAGCAAGGGCTACTCATCGGTTTTCGCTCGGTGGCGCCGGAGCTGGACCTTGTGTTGCAGGTAAAGCTAGTCAACTTCTGGGAGGAAGAAGTGGATTGAGCTCCACTTCATCTTTAAAGGTTCAGAGAGGGGTTTCGATGACCGATGATTCTAGTCTCTCGGTTGAAGCTCCGCATTTCGAGCTCATCGAGGATCCTTCCTTTTGGAGAGATCGCAATGTGCAGGTATTTGTGCATGCATTTAAGGCTGAGTAAGGAAACTGAGAAAACCCAAAAATTGATTTGAACAACATTGTGTAATTCAATTCGGTTTAGATTTTTCATTTTGTTGTTCGATTTCTGTTCGGTTTAAACATTAATTTTATAATTCAGTTCAATTTCAGTTTTATTTTTATTTTTTTATATATATTTCAACTTGTATGGTTACACTTGATTGAAGTATGTTTTATGGATGTTGACTGTTGAGTTTGAAAAATAGTGATAGTTAATAACCATAAAATTGAATCGAAACGAAATGAATATTATGATTTTTATGCCATTCGGTTTCGGTTTCAATTTTAGAAATATCTCACAGGATAGTTCCGTTCATTTTTTTATCAAAAAACCAAACCGAACCAACTGAATACACCCCTACATGCAATCATGCATTTAATTGTCGTTCTATTTGGGAGTTACAATTCCCATTTCTTTACTGATCTCGACTTTCAGGTGTTGATAAGGATTCGGCCACTGAGTACGACGGAGATGGTTTCACAAGGGTACGGCCGGTGTTTGAAGCAAGAGAGTGCACAGACTTTACTGTGGCTTGGACATGCCGAGACCAGATTTACCTTTGACCATGTAGCTTGCGAGACCATATCGCAGGTTCCATTTTAACATGAGAACTAGTAATATCGTTTCGGTAGTTAAAAGGAGAATTATGTATAATTTGCATGTAGAGTTATGTTGGATATTTGCTTGAAACTTGGTGTAGGAAAAGCTTTTCAGAGTAGTTGGATTACCCATGGTGGAGAACTGCATGTCTGGGTATAATAGCTGTATGTTCGCTTATGGTCAGGTAAGTAATGCTGTTTCGCTCTCTCATTTTTTGAATTAAAAGGCTTTTGCATACCCCAAATTAATACGTTGAATGAATATGACTTATATCGTAAATAAATACCTAAAGTTTGTCATTTTGTTCTAAAAAGTTGACACTGGCATTAATTAAAGGATAGTTTATGTACTTAAATGAAAAAAGTGTATTTTATGTACCTATTTTAACCAAAAAATAATTTAGGTACCTATTTTGACCAAAATGATAACTTTAGGTACTTAAATGAAACAGATTATAGACATTAGGAACTTATTTGTAACATAAGGCATTCCAAAACTTTTTACCTGCAGACTGGTAGCGGCAAAACGTATACTATGATGGGTGACATTTATGAGGTGGAAGGTCAGCTCAGTGAAGATTGTGGACTAGCACCCCGTATATTTGAATATTTATTTTCGAGGATTAGAATGGTGAGAATGTTATTCCTCATTCTGTTAAAAGTACTTTATGTTTATACTTTTGTGGGAAATATTTATTCAAGTTTGTATATGTAGGAAGAAGAGAGCAGGAAGGAAGAGAAGTTGAGATTCAGTTGTAAATGTTCCTTTCTAGAAATATATAATGAGCAAATAACGGATCTTCTGGACCCCTCATCAACTAATATGCAAGTAATTGAAATGTTTCCTTTTTGTTCATGTTTGGTAATCCACATATATTACACCATAGTAGGTCATAAAACTGATTTCCCTGCTGTAGCTCAGAGAAGACTTGAAGAAAGGTGTATATGTGGAAAATCTTATGGAGTATAATGTGCGGAATGTTGATGATGTTCTCAAGCTTCTGTTGCAGGTAATAATGACATATAAATAGTAAAAAATATTCTACTTCTTTACTATTTGCCTAATATACTGGTTATAGAGAGTGAAAATAATTGCTCCAACTTTTGATTTCGTTACACACAGGGTGCTTCAAACAGAAGAATGGCAGCAACCAACATGAACATTGAGAGCAGCCGATCCCATAGTGTTTTCACTTGTATCATTGAAAGCCATTGGGAAAAGGACTCTATGACTCACTTCAGATTTGCAAGGTTAAATTTAGTGGATTTAGCGGGTTCTGAAAGGTAATGTGCTCGTGGAATCATTTTTTTTCAGTTGATCTGTTTTGAAAGCCAAAATAATTACCTTTAAAATTTAGGCAGAAGAGCTCGGGTGCAGAAGGAGATCGTCTGAAAGAAGCAGCAAACATAAACAAATCTTTGTCAACTCTTGGGTAATTAACCTTATTTTTTTTACTCAGTGTAGTTTCCCTGAAGATATTGCAACTCCCTATCATGTTTGTTGCAATATATTCCATGCAATGCAATGGTATCTTTTCTATGTTCTTATTTCATTCTCGGTTATTTTGGTGAATGTGAAATGCATCACATTATGTCTCTTCTGCTGCCAGTGGGCAGTTTCAAACCAGCTTTCTGGTCGAGTTTCTTTTGATATGGCTCTTGGGCTAGATGTCAGCCCCTCGTTTGTGTTAATATCTTTACACTCTTTCTACCTCACTTCCAGATTGAAAACAGTAAATATTCATGGATATCTTTATACAATGCAATCTAGCAAGAGTCATTGTGCACCCAAAGTGATCTATAAAAAACATAGAACTATAGTTTCCTTTAGGGATGGTTTAGACTTTCACTGGTTGGCATTTTCTTGACTTTCGTTTTGATTGCCAAGTTATTTTAAATGTAAGGTAGACAGCTAGGAAGCACTGAAGCTTCTCTCAAGCATAAAATGCACAGAAGTTATCTCTTGTAGAGGGTTGATCAATGAGTATCTCTAAACGAGCTAGTGGATTTGATCAATGAGTATCTCTAAACAAGCTAGTGGATTTGATCTTAATGATAAAAGTATACGTGGAATGAACGCCTAATTTGAGTATAATATGGTACTCATGATGGACAAACCATATGCTCAAACTAAATCCAGAAGTTCTGTTTTGTATATTTACTTTTAATGCAATCTAAAAAGAAGGTTTATGTGCAATGTATTTACTTTTCGCTCTGCTGCTTTCACCATTTTAGCCTTGTAATAATGTCTTTGGTGGATATGGCACATGGAAAACATAGACATGTTCCGTACAGAGATTCTCGGCTGACATTTCTGCTTCAGGTTAGATAATGCAAACTCTCAACTGAAAATAGCTCCATTGTCTTGGTAGCTTGCTTAAAGTTTTCAACTAACCATGATATGGGAAGCAGGATTCCCTAGGCGGAAACTCAAAAACCACAATAATTGCAAATGTCAGCCCATCAATTTGGTCTGTTCAACAATTAATTATTCTTTGTGACATCATAAACTTTTTGTTGTGACCCTTTTTGTTTTTCTTCTTCTAATGTAACTTGATTCTTTTGTTTTTTGCAGTGCTGCAAATGAAACTCTAAGCACACTGAAGTTTGGTCAGCGTGCTAAACTTATTCAAAATAATGTATGTACTTTCGATGCTTGGAGCTTCATAAATCAAAATTGCTTATGCCTATTGATGTCTTACAAATTGTTGAAGGTCTTATTACCTTTTCATTTTTTTCCAGGCTAAAGTGAATGAAGATGCTTCAGGTGATGTTAATGCACTACAGCGACAAATCGAACAATTAAAGGTATGTGCTAGTCACAGTTTGCTTCTTCCTCCACATTCCAAAATTGTAAATCTGAATTGTTTACCATCTCAATAGAGCCAACTGTCCTCATTGTTGAAGCATCATAATTTCCCAGAATCTCCAAACAGCCTTGTGCCAAGCTGTGAAGAACTGAGCAAGGGAGACTACTCAAGAAAAAATGAATACACTGGTGAAGTGGTTGCAGATTGTAGGATACAAAACATCAGCAATACCAAGGTCACCTTTTATGGTCATTTTGTTTACTTATTTTGTAAGGGTGATATGGGAATTTTATAATTAATCATTGGTAGTAAAGTCTAGCAGATGCGACTCATGGAGGCTACTTTGGCTGGTTCCTTAAGGAGAGAAAAGATGGCAGAAACTGCAACCCTGAAATTAGAGGCAGAAATTGAGCAAATGAAACACTTGGTATGTCTTATCCTAAGGATCAATTCTTAATTCTTTATACGGGATGGTCTCCAAGAATTCTTTTATCAGTTCTGGTAAAGTAGTAATATAAACAACTGTTTATACGGGGTTACCAAACAGTCGAAATCCTTTCTTGCAGGTTTGCCAAAAGGAAGAAGATGTTCAACGTACTAAAATGATGCTTAGGTTTCGGGAGGAGAAGATAAAAAATTATGAATTGTTGTCAACTGGCCTAATATCAACTGAGGAGTACCTCATGGAGGAAAACCAAGCTTTGAAGGCAGAAATTGAATTGCTTCGGACAAAGATTGACAGAAATCCGGAATTGACACGTTTTGCTTTAGAGAATATTAGACTTCTTGAACAGCTGCAAACGTAAACATCTTATTCTCACTCTATTACCTCTCTTGATTCCAGTGACTAAATTTGCGTATTTTATGCCAGATTTCAAAAATATTATGAGCAAGGAGAGCGAGAAACATTGCTGGGTGAAATTTCGGAACTGCAGGACCAGGTTTGGGGAGTGCAATTTTGTTGAAAATTTGATTTTTGGCTTGTTATAACAGACTGAAGCTTTTTCTTGATATGCAGCTTCATGAAGTTCTTGAAGGAAAGAATAGATTATCCTCTAGATATGAGAATCAGGTTGGCATGCACAATCATATTATTTATGTCATGAATAGTACTATCTGATCTGTACTTTACCTTTGATAAATTCCAAACTGATGACGTGTGAATTTCAGAATGGGAACACTGTGAAGGAGTTGGAAGATTGCAGGAACATGAATTCAAAATTGATGAGGTATTTAATAAATCAATGATCTTTATATTCCTAGGTGTTGCTTGTTGGCTTTCAGTACTATTTAACTTTTAATGACTATCAGGGGTATAGTTGTATCAGCCTTTTATATGACTTATCCAAGGAGGATCAATTGTCCTTTATCTACAGATTTAACAATTTTTTCTTTCTTTTTACACTAATGAATTAAGCGCTGGCCTAGAATACAGCTTTAATTTGTCATTTCTTTGAAGAAATATTTCCTACTCTGTTGTATGGAATCTCATTACAGGTTTTTGTCTTCAGGGAAGTAGAAGAGTTACAAGTGGAACTGAGAAAATACTTGAACTGTAGTCATGTAGAATTTGATTCTGTAAGAAAAACTATGAACTAGTGAATGAAGGGGTGTGATAGGTTAATCTATGTCCTTAAGTAGCTTATACAAGTTCTGTCCTTTATAGGTTACTGATTCACCATCCAAGGATCATGGTGAACGTAGGCAAGCGGACAAATATTCATTGGTAAGAAAAAATCAACTTGTCTGTTGCTCCCTGTTAATTTATTAATGACATTTTATGTAGTAATGGGTATCCTGCTGTTGTATTTATATTCTGTTTCCTTCAGTGATTAAGGATACTGATACAGTAGATGCATTAAAGAGAAAGAACATTTTAGGTTTTGTGTAAAGGCAGTCTATACTCCGATGTAGAAGCATCCACCAACATGAAAAACAAAATTATATATTGTTTTAATCTAAGAAAAAAAATCGAGGGAGAGGGAAAGAACAAAAGAGGTAATGCAAGAGAAATCTGATTTTTTAGTTAGGACATTACAATAGTTCAAATAAACTGAGTTTTTGATTTCTAATAGGACTTTTCTGCTAAATATAAAATTCTATCTAGAGATAGAATTTACAAAGACTACTAAAACTTATCCTTTCTTATCATGTAAGACTCCTAAACAACAAATGAGACTTCTACACGGCTGATTCTGACAATAAGTAACAATCTTTTTCACTTTTCTAATGGAAACTATCTTACAGGTTGATACCATATCAGCCCATAGTGACTCTGGAGATGAGATAGCATCCTATTCCCAAAATAATGATCTGGGTTTAGAGAACCAAAATCAGCAGAATACAAGTGTTGCTTCAGTTGTGCAGCATAGGGCCACTCAAGAGTTGATGGTTGCAAGATTGTTAATTAAGGAAAGGGAAACTGAGCACATGCATCTACTCAAAGAGCTGCAACATCTCCAGGAAGAGAACAGAAGGTACATGGGAATCATTAGCAATGAAGACAAGCTGGAAAGTGAATCTGTTCATAAACTTAAAATTCATTGCCTTGAGCAAGATCAATTAGCATCTAAAAAGGAAGGCCTGGTCATTAAGAGTGAAATCATTGATGCAAAGGATTTACGTGACAAGTTGGATAGATTAACTAAGGACCTGGAGAAAGCCAAATTACTTAACTGTCAATATCAACAGGTTCAAGCATCACAGTTATCTTGCCAGCATGAAGCTGATTTAGTCCGTGAACAGGTTGAAATGGAAACAGCTAGGACAATCCTTCAATTGCAGGAAGAGGTTGTTGCGCTTCAGTTAGAATTTGATGAGAAACTAGCTTCCATTACTCAAGAAAATACGAGGCTAAGAGATACAATCACAGCTAAAGAGGAAGAAATAAAGTCAATTTGTATTGATTGGGAAAGGGCAACTTTAGAACTCACTAGCTTCCTTCTAGATGGTTCTAAATCCCTCAAAGGTGCCTCTCGGCTGGTAGAAAACATTGCTTGTTTGTTTCCTCAAATTAATGTTTGGGTTGGTGAAAATGTTGAGAGGGCTGCAAGAGTTTGCATTGAAAAAGAAGAACGAATTCTACTTCTGCAGAGAAGCTTGGAAGACGCACAGAGAATGATAGTGGAAATGGAGATGAAGTTAAGTTCCTTGAAGGGAGCAACAATTGCTTTTAATGAATTTAAGGAATCAGATGTTGATGTGAAAGCAGATGAGGTAGCTAGTTCAAGAATCTTTCCCAATGATGAGACAGATTTGGAAGTTCTGGCAAATGAACTCAAACATAAGGAGGATCAGCTTATCCTAGCAGAAAAACGAGCTAATGCTGCTTTCTTTATTGCAAAATGGCTTGTAGATTGCAACAAGGTTCCTTGTAGAGATCATGCTGAGATGGACATCCCAGACTTAAACCTAACCACTTCTGAGGGAATGCAAAGTGATGTAATGGATGGGATGATGGCTCATATGAAGTTTCTGACAACAGATAATCTTAAGGCCCAAGTGGAGTTGGCAAAGTTAGTAATACTAGAGTCTAAGAATGTTATCAATACATTTTATGAAGATGCAGAGGTCCATTTATCTGCCTTCCAAACAGACATTCTCGAAGCCTCTTCAGTTTACAAGGTTTTTCTTCAGGATCTGCTGAGAGAAGTTCTTGAAACGAGGAGTAAAATTTTTGAACTAAAAGAGAACTGTAAACGTTTTCAGACTTCTAGAATCAAAATGCAATCAGTGGAGGCAGCTAAGTCTTTGAAGTGTCACCTTCTGCATCAAATAAAAGATGAAATTGTTGAGGCAAATCAAAGTCTTAAATCAATTAAAGATTGCATTAAAACAAAAGCTAGTATGCATGCCCACCTGCCAAATGGTGAAGACGTGATTGAAAAGTACAGTTGGAGTTCTATTTCAACTTCAAGCTCTGATTATTCAACTGAAAGTATTGCTTCTGAAAATGATTTGATTGGATCACACTGCTCCATGAAGGCAACTGAGGTGGTGCATGATACAAAATCTGAAGAAGTCTCACCTGAATCTGATTCAGGACCCTCAGAAAGTTCAGGAACATTTGGCCTAAGAAATGAGTTGTGGAATGCATTGGGTGTTTTCCAGAAATTATACGTTTTGTTAACCACAATCCTTAATGAGAGAGATATTGGAGAACATTCGCATACTGAAGGTACAAATTTAGATGGATTTTATGTTTGTAAAAGAAAAACTACATGAAATATATATGAAATTAAACTAAATAACTTATTGATGGCAGAGCTTCCTTCTTTGGGGTTGACAATGGAGATTGATAAAGCAGAATCCCAGAATACTATAGAGGTATGCATTAACTCTAGATTTATTTTTGTTCCGGTGGGAGGATTGGTGTATATTAAACGTCTTCATATGATAACTAAAATCATATTTAGTTATAACACGAGAAAGACTGACCTTTAATTTGAGGCAATATTCTCTGATATGCAGGAACTTTCTGATGAGACCAGTCCTGCCAAACGTGTTTTTAAAAAATTCGAGGAGGCCCACGCAACCATGAAGGAAGCTGATTATACATTAAATGCATTGATGAAAGAAAATGAAAACGCACAAGTTTTGAATACTATGTGGAGGCAAGCAAGTGAAGAAATGATGGTAGATAAATCAAACTTGATCGATGAACTTGAAAAGCTCAGGTATTCAATAAGCTTGAAAGAAAGAGAGAATGAATTGCTGCAGGATCAAATACGTTGTACTCTGATTGAAACAGCCGAATCAATATCTTTGCTTGAAGGGTGTTTCCAACAAATGCAACGACAAACTGAGGATAAGTTTAAGGTTTTATACTCTGATGTCTTATCTATTAGTCAGGAGGTGCTCTTCACTATTTGCAACTCAAGATCATCACTAGAAAATATTTGCTTTGAGATGATACAGAAAGAATTTTCATTATTTGTTTTGTATCACTGCCATTTTGGAGACTTCATCCACAAAACTTTAAGTTTCAGCAGCGAATTATGTTCTCGTCCATTGCACAGACCAGAACTCCACTCTGTTGCAAATACTTCTATAAGGATTCACTCCATCAGTCAAGGTGAAAATGAGGTTTATCATAAGAAAAGTACAGTGGGTGAGGATGAAAGCAAGCAACTCAAACATTTAGAAGATGGAGGCCAAGATCTCTCACATGATGATTTGATAGATGAAAATTTCTCTCTGAAGAAAGAATTGAAAAGGAAAGAAGTTTTGTTGGAGGGTTTACTTTTTGATCTTCACTTGTTGCAAGAAGCAACTTCCGATAACCAGGAAATCAAAGATGAAAGTGAAAAGCTGACTGTGGGTTTGAAGCAAGTTTGCCATGAACTAGAGATGAAAGCAAATCAAGTTGATGACTTGTTAATTCAGCACAGGAAACTTGAAAATCGTCTAAGTGATGCTGAAAATGCTCTGTTAATATCAAATTCCAATCTGGAGCAGGCTAAAGAAAAAATAAATTCTCTCTTAGATGAAAATGATGAGATGAGAATTCTTTTAAAAGACCTCTATCACAAGAAAGCCAAGGCTGAAGAAGGACTGGAAGAACAGAAGGAGGTGGTGAAAGGATTGGAAAAAGAAATTCTTAATTTGAATTATTCATTGGAAAAAGATTTACTGTCAGTGGTTGAAGGCATTGAAGAGGACTTAAGAAAGGTCACTAGTGAGAGAGATGAGCTCTGTGAAGAAAGTTTCTGTCTAAATGATCAGCTTGAGATGGTCCGTGCGATGGCTGATGAAAATGAAGCCATTGCAGTTGAAGCTCGCCAGGTACATATCGGTTTATTCTTTTATCAAATAATGTCAGCCGTGTTCCTTGTACTAAATTTGGATTTCCTTTGTTGTAGGCGTCAGAAGCAAGTAAAATATATGCTGAACAAAAGGAGGAGGAGGTCAAGATTCTTGAGCATTCTGTTGAGGAACTTGAATCTACTGTAAATGTCTTGGAGAAAAAGGTTAGGAATTTGAAATTTTAATATTTCTATGAACTGGCATTGCTGAACTGATGGAGATCAGATATGGTCAAGTATTTTCTTTTCTTTTTTTTTTGATAAGAATTTCAGGCCTGTCAAGTATTTTCTTTTCCTTGATGGAAAAAATGTAACTTGGCTTTGAAATAATTGTGTTCCTTCAGAGCTTTCTGCTGTCTTGATTACTAAATTATCTTTCCCTATTGTAACTGAAAGGTCTGACTTGTATTAATCCTAGGTTTATGAATTGGATGAGGAGGTAGAGAGACATCGGTTCATCAGAATTTCATTAGAGCATGAACTCCAATTTCTTCGAGATAGATTGTCAAAAGTAGATAACTTCGTAGACACGCATTCAGTCAACTCAAATGCTGAACAAACTGAAGATCATTTTTCTAGGTCAAGACCACTATATACTTTCTTATTAGAATTTCTGGTTTCTTCTGCTTCTCTTTTGGGTATTCAGAAAGAGGTTTCAATGCAGGCAAATGCACAATAGATTGCTACTGCTCCATGAGGCACGTGATCAAATAAGGATCCTAGAGAGGGAAAGAGAAGAGCTGAGGGTGGAGGTTGATTCCTAATTTTCTTCCTATTGACTGCATTCCAATTTGTATAGGCTTTTGAAAAGTAGAACATGTTATTACAATATTATCTCCTTTTCTTGTATTTTAGTGAACTTTTTCAATTGCATTGTAGATCAAACAATGCAAAGAGTACATCTCGGAACTTGTACTACATTCTGAAGCCCAAGCATTTCAGTACCAGCAGAAGGTATCACTTATACTCTTCACTATGAACACTAGTAGGTTTACAAATTGTATTTGAGCCTATGTTACTCAGACGCTGGTGTTAGTGTCGGATACGGGTATGGTTAGATTTTTCTAAGTTCTTCAACGTAGTTGGAGGATCCTTGGAGGTCATATCTCCATGTATCATATCCGAAACGGGTACTTTAAGAACAATGAAGAGTCAGAGCAACATAGTTTGTGCCATTTTGTATTATACATAAGATTCTGAGTGAACTCCTTAGGTAATTAGTTCTGTGAGATTTTAAAGGGTTCTCTTTGGAGCTTTCATTACTTAATAGCATAATACTCGGGTAATTTGGAAATGCCATAGCCTAAATTTGTCACTCTCTACCCATTGGAAAGAAAAGGATTACAAACCTTTAAAGGGGCAGGATACTTTTTCAACTATTTGACTGCAGTCACAACGCTCAAAATGTGAAATTGTTCTTTCATTCTTATCCGTTTATGACTTTAACATCCTATCATGCATAAGAGTTTCCATTAAAATATTCCTTAACCAAAAAAGAAATGTTGCCTCATTTACTTAGAGAACAAAACGGTAATAAAGATTCCTATTTTGTTAAACTTGTTATAGACATTGCTCCTCTCTACTTTCCAAATTATAGACTTTGTCTTCCATGTCAAACTTGTTATAGTACACGTCTTTTTCACCCCTCCTTTTTGAACAGTACAAAACCTTGGAGGCCATGATTCATGAAATAAAAACAGATTTGCCTACTTCAACCTCTACGGTATCAACATTGGACAAAAATGAGAAGACCTCAACAAGAAGCAGGGGTTCAAGCTCACCATTCCGGTGCATTTCAAGTTTGGTACAACAAATGAGTTCAGAGAAGGATCAAGAATTGTCAAATGCCCGGCTTCGTATAGAGGAACTGGAAGCATTGTCAGCTAGTCGACAGAAAGAGGTATAGATGTTTCTCATTTATTTCCTTTTAACGAGACTTTCTGAACCTATCATTAGAATATAGTGAGGAGTAATAGATTTAAGTTCTACTTTAACCTCGCAAGCAGAGTTTTATTGTGTCTGAAAGAGGTCTACTCGTTACTTTTCTATCATATCTTTCCATCTCTTACCATGTGAAACTAGCAGCTAAGCCCACTTGCATACATCTTTCTCTGCTGGTAGTTGGATTACTTGTGACTAATCATGAAGTTTCTAACTCATTCTATACTGGATCAGATATATATGCTAAACACTAGGCTAGCTGCAGCAGAAAGCATGACCCATGATGTCATCAGGGATTTACTTGGCGTCAAATTGGACATGACTAATTATGCTGTAAGATTCTGATTATTCCCCCATTAAAACATGAATACTTTCAGGCAAATTACTTATTTAAGCATTATATTTGCCTGCGTGTTCCAGAACTTAATAGACCAACAACAGGTTCAAGACCTTTTGAAGGAGGCCAATCGGCAAGCAGAAGAGTTCCTTGCAAAGGTTTGCATGATTAAACTTGAAAGTATTCATCTTGATTTATCTGAATATACTTAATGGCCTAATGTGCATATCGTTTCATTTTTTTAGGAGCAAGAAATTCTCAAATTAAGAAAGCAGGTTACTGATTTCATGGAGGAAAAAGAGAGGTTAGACCCATTTCTTTTCGTTGGTTCAATAAGAATCTTAAATTTATTTCTGCCAATGTAATGTGGGTCCTTACCCTTTAAAATGTTAGAATCTGAATCCAGACTCAGAATAAATAATCAAGTTTTATGTGTCAAAGAACTAATTATCTTCATCGCATCGTCTCTTAATGGGTATTTGTGCACTGCAGTTGCTTGTGTGAAATAAATAAGAAAGATGCAGATATACTCACTGCACAAGTGGCATTAGAGCAGATGCAACAGCGAGATCAGTTGCTTTCTGCACAGAATGAAATGTTAAAGGTAATTTCAGTCAAATTATGATTCTTATCGACTTTGGGATTTAGTCCCTGTACTTTTAATCTAGCTTAATCTAATCATCCTACTATCACTAAAATTACATTAGTTCAAATCACCACCCTTAAAAATACTCCGCTAGTTGGCTAATGTGTATTTTTTTGAAAATGTTCAACTCACGAGGTTGATCTAGATTTGTTTAGGTGATAAAATGATAGAAAATAACAATTTTGAAAACCATGTTTTTGAATGAAATAAAAGGAATTTCGGGTTTCGAATTTGTGAAGCACAACATCAATAATGGTAAGATGATCAAATTATGTAAAATTAATCTATAGGGATTAAATCTAAAGTTAAGGACGAAAATCATCATTATACCTAGTAATTTCTCATGCTGTTTAAGTTATTAATCATGTTTCTGCTCATACAGATGGATAAGAGCAATCTGATAAAGAGGGTTGCGGAACTCGATGAGTTGATAAAAACATATGAAGGAACAACATCAAGTAAAGAGAAGCACATAAGGCAGATTAAGGTTTGAGATTTTATGTGGACTTTAGAAGCTTTGTTAGGAGCTAGAGAAGCAATATTCTCAAGTTGTTTTGTTGTTGAAACAGGAGAATGGAGGTGTGAATATGGGGAGAAGGCTTGTTTCTCAAGTCGGTAGAAGCAGTAGTACCGGCCGTGTTCAACTGCACGGCGGGCAAGGGTTCGAAGCTAAATACAGTTAAGTTTGTTGGTATTATGAGATGATTATGATCAAGAATTGAATTGGTGGAGAGTTGCATTGTGTTCATTCTTTCTATCCTTGGAAATCCAGGGAGAGAGCGATTTGTGTAAAGTGAGTGAAGCCTCTGATTTATTATTGTGTAAATAAATTTTACTTTGGCTTGGTCTATGCATAATAGAGCAAAAAACGCTTTGGTTTGCTTTCCTTATTTCTTGTCTCTGCATCAAAAGGTTTGATTTGTTGAATATTTCGATATGAATGAAGGGTTTCAAAAAAAATTTAGGTTAAACTACCTATTTAGTCACCCACCTATTATTTATTTTTAAAATTGTACCTAACGTTATGCTTTTGTTCTATTTTGATCATTTTTTAATGATGATGTTGATATGTCATCATAGGGTAATGCAATGTCAACATTGAAAAGAAAAAAAATCGCATATGTATTACCGTTAATTTTTTAACGAAGGGTAATGATCTTTTCATATTAACAAATAGTTCATATTGAAGCACTCAATTTTTTTTAAAAAAAAATCAGTTAAATCTTAATTTTGAGAAATAAAAAAAATCAAAGGAATAATAATATTTTACAATATCTATAACTATAAATATAAATAAGTTAGTTTTACAGAAAATATTTTTCTTATTTTTGTAGTATTTAATTAACGAAAAACGTTTCTTTTTCTTTTTGGTATTTGATTGATGTAAAACGTTTTTTAATGTAATGTAAATTTCTGGATTTTTTTTCGGTTCTTTTATTATTTTTAAACTACTTTCATTTCTTATTTTTTTAAATTATTTGCTTAATTTTTTTACCTCAAAGTAAACACACAAAATAATATTATTTATTGTTTTTATAAAAATATTGCTATTAAATTATTAATAATAACTAATATTTAATATTAATTTCATATTATTTCAATATATATATTGATTTTTAAACTATTTTGAAACGCATTTATTAATAATTGATTATTTTAATAATATAATTGATTATTATTAAAATATAAATAATTAATATAAGAGTTAACTACATGATTGATCATTTCATGTTTATGTTTTGTCTACTTTTTCTTACTAATTTCAAAAAACATAATATTTGTTCACTTTTATTTTTATTTTATTAAGATGTGGTCACCATGAGTTAAATGTCGTCTTTAACAGTTAACAAATTAGGTGACATGACAATCAAATATTTTGGTATAATTAAATATTTGATCCTTACTATCTACATTTTCTCTCAATTTAGTCATTATTTTAATAAATTTAATCCTCCAATTGAGTGATGCCACATGTCGTGCCATGTGTATAAAAACTTAACTTAAATTCATAATATTATTTATATATTAACTTTAAAAAAAATTATATTAACTTATTAAATATATTTTTATTAAATACTTAACTTTAAATTAATAATATGTTATATATATTCACATGTGGTATCATTTGATTGGAGGTTTAAATTTATTTTTATTTATTATAAGTATGACTAAATTGAGAGAATATATAAATAACATAGATCAAATGAGTGATTATACCAAAATATTTGACAGTCATGTTACCTAATTTGTTAAATGTTAACGACAATTAACCCGTGGTGATTACATCTTAATTAAATAAAAAAGAAAATGACCATAACTTAATTAAATAAAAACAAAAGAAACTATATATTATATTTTGTGAAGTCAGTGAGGAAAAGTGTACAAAACACAAATATAAGTGATCAATCATATAGTTAACCCTTAATATAATCAATACTCGTCCCACTAAATGTCTATCTTTTGTTTTTTTAAAATTGTCTCATTCAAAATATCCTATTAGAAAAGTCAACAAGTAATAACACTTATGTAACATCCCAAACTAGGGGTTAGTGGCTAAATTGTAAAGTTTAAGAATTTGATGAATTAAGTAGAAGAATGGAATAATTCGATGATTTATTTGGAAATAATTCCTAAAAGTTGTTAGTAATTATTAAAGTAGATGAAGGGCAAAATGGTCATTGAACAAAGATAATATTAAATATTAATAAATGGGTATTATAATATATGAGAGGTATGATTGAAGAGATAAGTTTTAGACTTATCTTCTTCATCTTCATCTTCTCTCAAACGTGAAGAGCCAGCTTGCAAAGGTGAGTTTCTTTGTTAGTTGGTTATTTGCTAAATTTATGGTTGGGTTTTGATCATTAGATAATAACTAAGCTTAAGGAAAGCTTAGGTTATCTTAAGATTGAAAGATAAAGAAGTTATGAAAGATTAAAGAAAATGGGTTTTTAAAGGAAATTTTGGAAAAGAGTTAATAAGAGATTTTTAAGATGGAATTTGACTTGTCATCAAGAAGAATAAGAGATTTATGAAGTTAGAAAAGATTTATAACAAATTTGAAAGTTTAGTAAGATTCTTAATTTTAATAATCTTGATGAAATATGGAAGATAAATATGATTTATATGGACATAAGTTGGTTTCAATAATGATAGTTGAGTTTAAAGTCATAATAGGGGATTAAAATAGAAGAATTGAATGAAGAATTGATGAATTTCGGGCTTGAAATGTAATTTCTGGACAAGGTGCATCGATGCACATTCATAAGTGCATCGATGCATTCCTTTAAAAGAAAGAACATCGAATGCCTTTGATGCATCGATGCATAGCTAATGCATCGATGCATCCTTTTAAAATAAAAACATCGAATGCATTTTATGCACCGATGCACAAGTAGTGCATCGATGCATACCTTCATTGAAAGAGGAAATGGGCTTTTCTCTTAGCCTAAGAAGTGACAGTTTAGAATATATCAATTGGAATATTGATATGAATCTGTGTATTGTTATGTAGAGATAGAAAGTGATCCGTTTCAGGACAATTGAGGAATTAGAATCGAATCAAAGCAAAGCTAAGGTGAGTGCAATTTATTTTGTACTTATTTTATTGAATTAACATTGGCTTGTGATGAGCCAGTGATGGAGTTACTATGGTAAGAAGTAACTTTTAAATTGTTATGTGATTACCATGTATGCATTAATACATAGAAATAGATGGATGCTATGTTATATGATTTATATGCTTAAGTGAAAATGCAACATATAATATATGTTATTTGACATGACATGCATGGTTACATGAAAGAAAGCTATGTGACTACATGTATATGTGAAAGAAGCTATAAGCTTATATGCACATGTAATATACGTGATATGAATTACATGAAATGATTTACATGAATACATGTATATATATAATACATGTGATATGATATGAGATATATGGTTACACATACATGTGATATATGACAGAAGAGAAAGAACAAGTGATACGAAATGTATAAATAAATGCCCATAGTATATGATACGAGAGCTATAGGTATAGTTGGCATGCCAAGAGTCGAGGGTTTTACCTATGTCTTTCGAGACATATGGACAGTATACCTATGTTCTAAGGAACATATGGACAGTTTACCTAGGTTATTTGGGACCTATGGACAGTTGCCGAGGTTCTTTATGACCTCTGGATAGTTACCGGGGTCTGTGTGACCTCTGGATAGGTCCTTCGGGACATTTATACGAGCTGTGGTGACATCATTAGTGCACAACCTCAATGTACTCACATACCTCTATTCTCAATAATATACATGGGCAATGAAATTGAAAGACAAATGAAAGTGAAAGTGATAAAAGAAGGTAAGTTGCATGTGTGCATGACCTGATTGTATATTGTTATCATACCATAGATTCATGCATATTGATATGTAGTGATTCAATGATATGAATGCACATACATGAATTATATGTGTTATATGATGAGTATATGGTAAGTGGAAAAGATTATTGATAGTGTTTGTATATGTATGTCTTTTATTTATATGAAATGATATATGGTTATATTATATGTTTTATATGCCTCACTAAGTCTATGACTTAGCGTGTAAGTGATTTACACGTAGGTACCAAGAACGAGAAGTGAAAGAATAGAAGTGGCAAAGACAGTATCACTACTAAAAGATCAGATCAGAAGTATTTGACAAAGTATGTATTTGATTATGTATAAAGTGTTGGCATGTAATAAGTCATTAAGTACGAGCACTCTGATCAAGTCTGTATTTTGTTTTAAATAAAGTTTTAAATTTCCCGGGATTTTTCTTAAGAGTCAAGATTTGAAAAGTCAATGTGACACGTCGGACTCGTATCCGGGTTGGGTACGGGTTGGGGGTGTTACAACTTATATTTCCTTTTTTAGCATGAACCAAGCGACCTAGGTGTTAAATGAATTATTTTTATTTCTTGAGGTCTCGGTTTCGAGCAAAAAAAAATGCTAGGGGGTGTGACCGTTGATACTGCCTTATATTTAGTAATTACCCTAGATTAATTAAAAAAATTCCTTTATCTCTCTTATATGTCTCACACTTATACACCTATTAAATGAAATCAATCATATTTTAGTAGGGTGGCAATCTGGTAGGAAAAAATTAAAAATTGTGGAAACCCGAATCGACGGGATGAGAAAAGTTTTATCCCTGAAGCTCAAATGGGGATAGGGAAAGTTTTATCCTTGAAACTCAAATGGGGATGGGGACGAAGATTGCTATATCCGAACCGTGGAGATCCCGAAAAATAATATTAACGATCCCCAATATTTTACAAAAATAATTGTGGGTATCCTCGAAAAATATCTGTGAGATTACACATTGCCACTGTTACATCTCAAAAGAACTAAAATTAAAGTTTAGATCTATTCATTTTTAATATACATTGATTTGTTGAAATTAAAAATGGTTAAGATTGTACATATAAATTAGATGTTAGATGAATATAAACTTTTATATTATAGATAGAGACCAATTTGAGACAATCTAATATATCTTACAAGTTTTAGGTATTGTATTGATTTAAAAAATGTTTGTTTATTTTTTGAGATGATGATTAACCGAAACTCGTAGGGATTCGTAATGGATGTGTATGGAGACAAAAAAAATCTCCGAAATATATAATAGGGATTCCCAAAACCGTACCTGCAAGTATTGGGGACGAAATGGATAATGAAAAACCGTCTCCGTCTCATTCCATTGCTATCTCTATATTTTAGGGATAATTTTATCATTTTTTGATTAAATATATATCCTAAAATTATGTGAATAATAATTAAAAGACACACATTATGAGACTAATTAAGTAATACTTTTTATTTTAATAAAATATATTAATTTAAATAGATTTTATTTATAAAAGTATAAAACATATTTTAATAATATTATTAACATAAATAATATTAATTATATTATTTTAATATTTTAAAAAAATGTTAATTTTTATAATAAATAGTATATTATTTATTACATTCTATAATTATAATAAACAATTTTTATAATTACAATACAATAGATGAAACACAATCTAAAATGCAAATCAGAGTGTAATACAGGGGCTTTACGGTGTTTCTCATACATGCATCGAGTTAGGATGTTAAAACTCGGAATAAAATCAAATTCTAAACTCGGTAAACTTGAATTGTGGAAGCAAGCTACTGTTCTCAAGTAATCGGAATTCACAGCAAAGATTAGTTGAAGAAGAAACGGAAAACGATAATGAAAGGTTAGAGTTAGATTTGATGATGGAAGAAGGAAAGGAAATGTGCTTCGAGTGCCTCGAACGCCGAATCAAGTTGGATTGGTCGGATCAGCTGCAGTTTTGCTATGGCATCTCCGATTCTCCTCTCCCCTTTGGCTCCTCCGCCGTGGTTCAATTCTCCCCTACCAATCCTTCAGCTCCACCCTCGCAATTCATTTTATCGTACCTTCCCACTCACACACACCATTGCTTCTCCAAATACATGTAAGTTCATCTATATTCTCGCGCTATTTGGTTTTCCCCCTTGTGTCTTTGCTTAATTTCTGCATGATGTAAAAATTTAGAAGCTGTTTCAATTTTGTGCCCTTTTTGCCTTTGTAGCAGTAATCAATGTACTTTGCCGAATGGAGAAGAAACGGAGATGGGTTCTGAATCTGGCACTGGCAGCACTTGTCTATCGGATTCTTTAATGGGATATGAATGTTGTGCTTGTAACCATTGTGGTAAATTCTCTAGCTTGAGAACAATTACTGCTCTGGCCCCTCTTGCTCATGTTGGCATTTCTTATTGTTCTACTTTTCAAGAGCTTGCTTCTAGTTTCCTGTCTGGGACTTTGGAAGATCATATAGTGTCCTCGCTTAATCTTCTTGTTCAAGGAAAAGCTGCTGGGAGAGACGGTGTTAATTATTTGCATCTCCTTGGGGTTCCTTCATTTGATGAGAACAGCATCCCAGGCTGCCTCAGGCATCCCAACATAGCTCCCGTTCTTGGGTTATTGAAAACACATGACTATATAAATTTATTGCTCCCAAAAACTCCATATAATTTGGAGAATATTCTTCATTACAGCTCAACTGCCTTGAAGTCCGACTGGCATATGAGGTTTTTGATGTACCAGCTGCTGTCTGCCCTTACTTATTTGCATGGATTAGGAGTTTTCCATGGTAATCTATGCCCATCCAATGTGATGCTCACTGATTCAGGCTGGGCTTGGCTGCGCATTTGGGATAGCACTATGTTAGGATTCAATTTATGTTTCAAACATGGGAAATCCAACAATAGCTGTATCCCTTCTAAGGTAGGTTGTTGCATAGAAGATTGTTTGTCTCAAGGATTATATGCTGATTTGAAGCTCTCCCCACCTTTAGATTGGAATTCTCAATTCAATAGATGGTGGAGGGGAGAGCTGAGTAATTTTGAGTATTTGCTTTTCTTAAACAAACTAGTTGGGAGAAGGTGGGGGGATCACACCTTTCATCCAGTAATGCCATGGGTAATAGATTTTAGCACAAAACCAAGTGAGAACTCTGATTCCGGGTGGCGGGATTTAAGTAAGAGTAAATGGAGGTTGGCAAAAGGTGATGAGCAGTTGGATTTCACCTATTCAACATCTGAAGTTCCTCATCATGTCTCAGATGAGTGTCTATCAGAATTAGCTGTTTGCAGCTATAAAGCGAGAAGGTTGCCTTTAAGTGTCCTGCGGATGGCTGTTCGCTCTGTCTATGAACCTAATGAATACCCTTCAACTATGCAAAGACTTTATCAATGGACACCCGATGAGTGCATCCCTGAATTTTACTGTGATCCGCGAATATTTTACTCTCAACATTCTGGTATGACTGATCTGGCTGTTCCATCATGGGCTGGTACACCTGAAGAGTTCATTAAATTGCACCGAAAGGCTTTAGAGAGCAACCGAGTCTCACGTCAAATCCATCATTGGATTGATATAAACTTTGGATTTAAAATGTCTGGGCCAGCAGCTGTTGCCGCAAAGAATGTTATGCTGTCTTCATCAGAGCCCACAAAGCCAAGGTCAATTGGACGTCGCCAACTCTTTACTAAACCACACCCTACACGTCAAGTTGTCATACAAGAAGCACGTGATAGCACAAAAGAGTCAGTTGTTGGTCGGGACCAAGCACATAAAATAGACAATGAGAAATCATTTGTCTATAAAACCTCCTGTTTACAAGAATTGGAAGAAGCATCTATATTTTCTGAACATGCCCGGCATTTGAGTCCGCTCTATTTCCATGATCAGGAAAACCTTATGAAGCAAAGCTCTTATTTCAAAGAGACTCAAAGCAAGAATTTGGAGAAAAGTGCACCAAATCCACATGATATTAGCAATTACTTTGGTTTTCTATCTGATGTTGATTTAAATTATCTCCTTGAGCATATTGATATACAGGATGAAGATTCCACAGGATATCAAGAGCTATTGCTTTGGAGGCAGAAATCATGTCTATCAAAGACTTCCTCCAAAGAGGTCGGAGAGGACATATTTTCTGTAGGTTGTCTGTTAGCTGAACTTTACTTGAGGAAGCCACTTTTTTGTTCAAGTTCATTAGCCACATACTTGGAAGGTGGTGTTTTTCCTGCATTGATGCAGGAGCTTCCTTCTCATGTTAAAGTACTAGTTGAAGCTTGCATTGAGAAGGACTGGACAAGGTGCTTTTTTTTGTTTTTTACATTTCCTTTGATATAGTCTTATTGAATTTATTTTATTATGCTTTTATTGATTCTTTTTACATCATTCTATTAATTTCCTTGGGCCTTTGCATCAACTATATCCATTATATAACTATTTTTTTTAAATTTGAAAATCACAATAACTAGGCGGCCATCTGCCAAAAGCCTATTGGAATCTCCATTTTTTCCTTCGACTGTGAAGTCGGTCTACTTGTTTACTGCCCCACTTCAAATTCTGGCAACAGATGGATCCCGACTTCAATATGCGGCAAATTTTGCAAAGCAAGGGGCACTAAAAACAATGGGAACTCTCGCAGCTGAAATGTGTGCGCCATACTGTTTACCACTTGCTTCAACTCCTCTATCTGATGCTGAAGCTGAAAGCGCTTACATACTGTTGAAAGAATTCATAAAATGTTTGACCCCAAAATCTGTGAAGGCATTAGTTTTGCCTGTTATCCAGAAGATTCTGCAGGCTAGTTACAAACTTTGTTCTTCTGTGCTGCTTCTATATTAAACTAAATATTTGGCTCCATGCAGATTAACTTGTTTATTTCAGACCACAGGTTATTCTCATTTGAAGGTTTCTCTTCTTCAAGACTCATTTGTTCGAGAGATATGGAACCAAATTGGTAAACAAACATATTTGGAAACAATACATCCTTCGGTCATATCAAATCTATATATTTCTCCTCACAAGAGTTCAGCAGCTGCTGCTTCTGTTCTGCTTATTTGCTCGAGTGAAGAGCTTGGTGTGCCTATTACTGTTCATCAGGTTAACCTCTTTCTATTGTTCTTGGTTTTGTCGGTAAGGAAATACATTTGGCCATAGGGTTTTGTGGGTTCCGGTTCTCTTTCTGATTATAACAACCTCTTGATTCTTAATGTAGACGATCCTGCCTCTGATTCACTGCTTTGGGAAGGGACTATGCCCTGATGGAATTGATGTGCTGGTCAGGATTGGTAGTTACTGTTCATTGGGTTTTCTGACTGATATTTGTCCTGGAGATGGCATGTTTACTATAGTACTTATGTCTTTCTTTCACTTTTCAGGTGGTCTTTTGGGAGAGACCTTTATTCTCAAACAGATGCTACCACTGCTTAAACACGTTGCTCATTCTTGTATTGACGTTTCTTCTATGAATAAGCCTGAGCCTATGCATAGTTGGAGTAGTTCAGCACTTGTTGATTGTCTAATGACATTGGATGGTCTTGTAGCTTTCTTACCAAGGGAAGCGATTGTAAAAGACCTGATTGAGGTATGCACTTGGTTCTCAAGTCACTTTTTTCTGCGCTTTATATTCAACATTGGATGGTGTTACTATTAAATGCATCTCCTATTATCATGCAGGATAAGAGGTGTGTACATGCTCTGGTTCTTATGCAAACAAATTTAGAGATCACAGTGCTTCAGGTGCTTAAAAATTTTGATTTTCTTTTAACTTCCGTGCAGTTAATCATACTTCAGTATTGAAGAATCATACATGATTACACATAACAAAAGGGTTATATGTGGTAGGGGATATGGTTTATTATCTTTTAACAACTAATGTTATGATTTTATCATTTTTGTCAAGGTAAATGTGAAGTTTGTGTCTCTATACTGAAGCATCATGGATTTACATTCTCATTATGAATCTACATGAAAGCACATTCTTCTATTCACCTCCAAGTAATGGGCCAGTCTATGCTTGCACAATTTCTCTTTTGGTTGCCTTGTCATTTTGGAAGCATGTGTGGATGTCTTAGAATCTGTAATAAGTCTTAATTGATTAGCAGGGAGAAGAAATAAAGCTTATTACCTCTTTTATTTGTAGCTAATTGGCAGGAAAAAGCTTTGTGCTGCTTTTGTTCTTATTGTTTACTATTATCTATCTAGAAAATTAAGGGAGCACATTCCTCTGCACTCAAGAGATGTACAGCAGTGCATGATACTGGAGCAGCTCCCTAGTTCATTTTCCTTTTAATTGAATAATTCCGTTTTTTTTTTCTCCCATAGGCCCCTAAAATCATGAGAGAGAGTGTCAGAGAGAAAGCGGGAGAGAGGGAGGTTTTCAGTTGGTCAGTCTTCCGGCGAAGATTGGACGGTTTTCGTTGATAATCTGAGTAAGAGGGTAACTTGGAAAACACTTAAGGAAATTTTTCAACAACAGGGGAGTGTTGTACGTGTTTACATCCCGAACAATTCTAACAAGCTGAATTATAGAAATTACACGTTTGCTTTCGTCCAGTTTGCAAAGGAGGAGGGGTTGATGAAGGCGTTAGCAAATGTTAATGGTATTTGGATAGATGGCAAGAAGATCTAGGTAGGAGTTGCCAAGTACCAGAAGCAGAGACTCAAGCAGGCTGTTAGAAGCAATGGCAGAAGGGAAGAAGATAAGTGGAATAAGGATGTGTCTCGGAGTAGAAGAGCTGGATCAGAGTCTTACAGCCGACTGAGAGATGAGAGATCTTACAAGGATGCGTTAGCATCTTTGGACGGAAGGAGGGAAGGTCCGGCGTCAAAAGAGATTCGAGAGGGTCATATAGTTAAGGAAGTAGGAGTGAGGAATTTGTGGGAAATGCATATCCCCTCAGACGAATATGATTGGGTGAAAAGATCATTAACTGGGATCATCAAATCCCACTTGGATGTAGAGATAGTAGTGAAGGGGCTGGCTAGTGAAGGGATCAAGGTCAAGGGAGCTAAATGGGGATATACTTGGAATTCTTGCATCTTAATCTTTGGTTCGAAGGAAGAGTTCAAGGAGGTGTGGTCGAGCAAAAGAGAGGAAGTGTCCTTTTGGTTTGATTGGCTTGATCCACTTATGAGTGTAGATGGAGTTCCGATGGCATTCTGTTCGGTGGAGTTGGTTGGAACCCCCTTACTATGTTGTAATGTACTTTTTTTGGAAAAGCTTGTCTCAAGGTGGGGGAAACTGGTGTGTTTCCATGAATCCACAATCAGAAGAGAGGATTTGGCGGTGGTAAGAGCTTTGTTGAGGGTGGCTAGTCCTTATGATATACAGGATACTGTCACATTGGGCTCATATGGGAGATCATACAAGGTAAAATTTAGTGTGGGTTCGGTCAATTCAAAACAGGAAAGTTTTTCTGCAGAAATTCTTACGGTGGCCGGAGATGGAGATGGAGAGTCTAGAGACGAAACTCCATCAGAGGAGAAAGAAGTACGGAGTTTAGGCGGAATAGGCAGCCCACAACTGCTACCCGAGGACTCTAGGAATTCAGTAGACAGATGGTTGGTAGGGGAAGCCCGTACAACAATAGCAGGCGGCAGTGGAAGTAAGCAATTAATGCTGCAGGAAGGAGAAGGTCAACATAGTGGTGCTAAGGTGTCAGGTTTTCCTGAAGAAGATTTGAATTTCAAAGAAGATTACCGGGGTCTTGGGCTAAGGAATGATTGTATTAATGAAGTTGATGAAGCCCAACAAGAGTACTTGAGTGAGCCCAATACAAATAATTATAGAATTTCGCCATCTGGGCCTGCTGTTAATTTATTAAAACTGGGCTATGGTAACCGTTTGGAGCATCGGGTGGAAATGGAAGGAGAGCAGCAACAATCTGGTTCGGATGAACCAAATTTACAGATTTGGGCTACTGTCTCGTCAGATTTAAACTCTAATTCGTTGCCTGATGGGTCCTCAGATAGAGGGCATTCAAATAATGCAATTGAGGAAAGGTCAGAGGAAGCTATTGTCAGGAATAAGGAAGTATGCAGTGCGGTTGCAAAAGAGGTAGAAAAGGAAATAAGGCCAGTTATTTTGAGTACTCACCAGGGGATAGGACTTAATAAGAAGTCTTTTGCAAAGGGTCTAAGGAGGTGGTGTCCTTTAGACCATTTATCCAAAAGCTTGCATTTCAGTAATACACCGTTGGGAAGGTGGAATAGAGGTTCTACTTCTAGAGTGTATAGAAGATCTAAAGATAGAAAGGTGTGGTTTAATACGAGCAGTGTAGGAGTTTTACAATCTTTGGAGTTGCAAGATCATAACAGCTCTTTAATCAGCCCTCTACTGAGCAATCAGTCTTGTCCTGCTATCTTGGAGGTAAGACATATGGGGGAGGAGGAGGTTGAAGACCACTTACAGTCTCCCCGGAGGATAAATGATGTTTCATCAGTTGGTCAATTTGATTCAGGGGCTAGGTTTGAGGCTAGAAGAAAAAGAAGGCTTCTGATCAGGGAAGCTCTGGATAGGGTCAGTTTTCATTCTTTGTCTTCTCCAAATTTCTCGGTATTTTTGGAAGAGGCTTTGGCTACATGGGAGGTTAGCAAAATACTGGGGATCTCATTCAAAAAAGGGAAGAAGGCATTCTTGGAAAAAATCATAAATTTTGAGGAGAATTTGGTGGAAAACAGGGAGGGGCTGGACCCGGGGGTTTAGTCTACCGATAGTTCTTATACCTTGAGTTTTTGGTTTTAGATTAGTCTTTATGACACAGATGAAGATTATTTCATGGAACGTAAGGGGTTTGGGAAAAAAAGAGAAATCTAGAGCTATATCAAATATGGTTAAGAAGTTTAAACCGTGCATCCTTCTCATTCAAGAAACAAAGCTGGAAAACTGCTCTCAGGCTCTTAGGAGAAGGTTAGGAGGTTGTATACTTAATGGTGGAAATTTTGTTCCAGCTGTGGGGTCAGCAGGTGGATTAATAGTCTTGTGGAATGATAACGTATTTGAAGTATCAAACTGCCATCTTAGCGGCAGATTCATTGCAGTTTTTGGGAAGTTTAAGAACTCAAGTGCAGAGTGTGTGATCATAAATGTGTATGGTCCTTCCGTTGATTCAGAAAAGGTAGAATTTTTTAGGGAGTTAATGGATTTTGTTGCTGCTCAAACCAGGTCAGTCTGTATTGGGGGTGATTTCAATGTGTACCTTGATCCGACTGAGAAATTGGGAAGGTCTCAAAATTGGCTATCTATTGATATCCTGAGAAATTTCCTGAATCAATCAAACTTAATTGATCTACCTATGATAGGGGGAAGGTTTACATGGTGTAATAACAGAGAAACTTCTACTTGGGTCAGACTCAACAGGTTTCTTATATCTGGGAATTTTCTGTTATGTTTTCCGAATGTTGTGCAGAGCTTATTACCTAGGTCTTTATCTGATCAAAATCCTGTCTCATTAGAGGAAAAATCAGTGGATTGGGGTCCTAAACCGTTCAGATATTTTAATTATCTTTTAGAGGAGAAAGGTTTCGAAGAGTTGGTTCAATCGTCCTTGGAAAATTGGAGGGGGAGTAAGAAGAGAAGGGGCTTCTTCAGTTTTTTACAAGGTACAAAAAAATCAATAAGAAACTGGTCTGGCGGTAAGTTTCATGGGATTTCTGAGTTTATTTCAGATTTGGAATTGAAGATCCATGATATTGAATTTAAGGCACAAGACGATGTTCTCTCCCAGCAGGAGTGGGATCAGTTGTCTCAGTTCAGAACGAATCTCTGGAGGCTGTATAGGGTTGAAGAAAGTATTTGGTTTCAGAAGTCAAGGACAAAATGGATAAAGGATGGGGATAGAAATACAAGATTCTTTCACCTATCTGCGTTAAACAGGAGCAAAAGAAACGAAATTACAAGTTTGAAGATCAATGGCTCTGTTGTTTCAGATCCGTATTTGATAAAATCACATATCGCGAACTACTTTAAGAATGCCTACAGCTACAAGTCTACTATGGAAGTGGACGTTTTATCTCTGGATTTCGCTAAGCTTACAGAAAGCCAATCTACAAAACTTGAGGATCAGTTCTCTGAACAGGAAATTTGGCAAGCGATAGCCTATTCAGATAGCTCTAAAGCTCCAGGTCCGGATGGCTTCACCATGGGCTTCTTCAAGAAATGTTGGCCGACTTTGAAGGAGCATGTTTTGAGATTTTTTCAGGATTTTTATTTGGGCAGGGTTTGGAAACATGGGGTTAATCATGCGTTTATTACGCTCATTCCAAAGAAACTTAATTCGGATAGTGTGGAGGACTTTAGACCAATTAGTCTTGTGGGTAGTCTTTACAAGATTCTCTCTAAAGTGTTATCTAAGAGACTGAGCTGCTGTGTAGGAGATATTATTAGTCAATCTCAGCTCGCCTTTATACCAGGGAGAGCTGTTGGATTGTGCCTTCATTGCGAATGAGGGAATTGATTATTGGAGAAAACAAGGGTTGCGAGGGGTTGTACTAAAAGTTGACTTTCGTAGAGCCTACGATTCTGTGGAATGGTCTATTTTATTTAGAGCGATGATAGAGATGGGTTTTGGTAACAGATGGTCTTCGTGGATTTCTCAATGTCTTTCAACAGCTTCGATTTCAATTCTTGTGAATGGGTCTCCTTCGGATGAGTTTCCTATGGCTAAAGGTTTACGACAAGGTTGTAGTCTCTCTCCATTATTGTTTAACATTGTGGGCGAGTTGCTTCGTTTGATGCTTTCTAAAGCAGTGGACAAGGGTCTGTTCCAGGGGTTTATAATAGGGAAAACTGATAATACTACTAAGTTGTCTCATCTTCAGTTCGCTGACGACTTAATCATTTTTTGCCAAGCTTCGATTACTCAGCTCAAGAACGTTAAAAGAGTGTTGAGGATATTTAGTATCATGGCAGGTCTGCATTTAAATTTGGTTAAGAGTAAGCTTTTTGGAATTAACATGGAGGAAGATGAATTAACAGACTGGGCATCACAAGTGGGTTGCTCAGTAGGTTCCTTTCTAACAGAATATTTGGGTCTTCCCCTGGGTGCCAAGAAGAATTCAGAGGCTCTATGGGATCCAGTTTTTGGGAACTTTAGTGCCAAACTTGCTGGGTGGAAAGCTTCATGTCTGTCATTGGCCGGTAGAACAGTTTTATTAAAGTCGGTGTTATCCTCCTTACCAATTTTTTTCTTATCTTTGTTTAAAATGCCATGCAAAATTGGTAAGAAGTTAAACTCGTTAATGGCCAATTTCCTATGGGGTGATAAAGAGGAAAAGAGGAGAATCCACTGGGTGAACTGGAGTTCGGTCTGCAGACCATTAAATTGTGGTGGATTAGGTGTTCTTGATTTGAACCTCACTAATCGGGTTCTACTAGGCAAGTGGGTGTGGAAATTTGCCAATGACAAAAATTCCCTTTGGAAAGGCGTGTTGTGCAGCAAACATAAGGTCAGCCGCAATTCAATGTCTATTAGGGAGGTATCTCATCCTCAATCATCTTGGATTTGGAGAGGAATAGCTAATAACTATTTGAAGAATGATTCGGTAGGAGATTGTCTCAGGTCAAATTCGAAATTAAAAGTAGGAAATGGCAAGTCTATTTCTTTTTGGAATGACGTTTGGGCAGAAGAGTGTTCTCTGAAATTCCTTTTCCCAAGAATTTTTGTGCTGTCTCCTAATAAAGAGGGGAAAGTTGAGGAGTTTGGCAGCTTCGAATCGAGTGGTTGGGTGTGGAATGTCTAGACTAGGAGAAATTTGTGTGATTGGGAATTGGTCCAATGGTTGGAGTTGATGTCTAAGTTGAAGGATATTCAACTTTCAGAACTTTTGGATGATTTTTTATCGTGGACCGCTAGTGGAGATGGATTGTTCTCAATTAAATCTTGTAGAAATACTCTTGGTAATATGTCTAGGGGTACTGCTATGTGGACGAAAGGGGTTTGGCTGGGCTTTGCACCACCTCGGGTGGAAGCTTTCCTTTGGCAGCTTGCTCACCAGAAAGTAGCAGTCAAAGTTGAGTTGGTTAAGAGAGGTTTACCCCCTAGGGGATGATATTCTGTGTCCATTTTGTAAGAAACAGGAGGAATCTGTGCAGCATCTATTCATCACTTGTAATGTTGTTTGGGAACTATGGAATAAAGTAGCTAGTTTCTGGGATATTGCTATGGTTCTACCACAAGATCCTCCTTCTCTTCTTTGTTCTTGGGGTGAGTTGAGGGCGAAATCTACGATTTGGAAGTTTATTCCGGGAGTCATCTTTTGGTCTATATGGAAACATAGGAACGCAATGGTGTTCGAAGGAATTCTTTTAGACAGAGTGTCACTGTTCTTCATTGTTAGATTCAGGCTTGCTAAATGGTTCCATGCCAAATTTCCGGGTATTAATATACAAGAGGATGTGCTGATTGGTAATCCATCTCTTGCAGATGGTGTTTCATCTTGTAATGTTAAAGATCGTATTGTCTTTCGGTGGTTACCCCCCAGTAGACTTCCTAAAGATGAATGTCGATGGAGTTGTTAGGCAGAACGATTCGGGTGGAGGTATCGGAGGCTTATTAAGAGATTGGAATGGTTGCACTCTTTTGATTTTCTCAGAGAGTATTGGTCAAGCAATCCCCCCACTTGCTGAATTAAAATCTATAAAAAGAGGCATGTATATTTTTTTGTCTTCTCGGTGGGCTTCAGTTGGTAGGTTGATCATTGAAAGTGATTGCTCGTCTGCAGTGGAATGGATTCAGTCCCCGGCTCTGGCACCTATTTTTTTCTCGCCTATTGTTTATCAGATTTCGAGTCTTTTCTGTGAAAAGGTTCATTCAGTAAGGTTGATTCCAAGGGAGTGTAATGGAGAGGCAGATAGCTTAGCAAAGAAAGGGATAGGTTGATTGTAAGTGTCTATTTGTGGTTTTCTTGACTAAGTGTGTAGGTTTTTATGTTGGGAGGAGTGTTTAAGTCTTTTGTCAAGCAATTTAGTGTTATTTTTAACTGTTATGTAACTTTCAATATTAATAAAAGTTCCAAGGCACTCTTTTCCTCCTTCCTATGATTAACGACCTTTCTTCAAGGTCTTTAAATTAAGAAGGGGGTTTTTAACGAGGTCTTTCATTCCTATAAAAAAAAAATTTGTCTTATTGTTTACTTTATGTTTGATAACATTTTTTTTATTCTAGACCTAGTTGTATGCATCTGTTTACTTCTATGTCATGCATCACAAATTACAGCTAGGTATTCGAAGATTTTGTAATTTCACATGGTGTACCGTTCAGGTTGCAGCTACAACCTTAATGGCAATTTGTCAGCGAATTGGACCAGAGTTTACAGCATTGCATGTCTTGCCACAACTTAAGGTGCTTTTTGACGAGCTGGCCTTCTCACAAGAAGGTTTCAATGGATCTAAATCTCTCGGTAAAAGCTTGAAGGCTTCAAAATCAAAAGTTGATGGAGAGTTTCAAATAGAGAGCCGCATGGATCTTGTGTGGGTGATTATCTGTTCTCAACAGTTAGAAGCCAGGTTGGCATGAAGCACTTACCTCATCACTTTTTCTTTCATGAATGCAGATTGCTTCTATATCCTTCTTTTTGTTCTCTGCTTGGCATAGAGAAACTTCGTCAGTGTTGTACTACATGGTTGCTTCTTGAGCAATTTCTTCTACGGTTTCACAATTGGAAGGTATGTAGGATTTGCTTTAAAAGAGTGGTGTGGTTCTCTCTTTTTTTATTTGATGATTCAACTCAATTGCTAGACAAAGCACACGTTTTTTTTTCATGTCATATTTCTGAAAATGTTATTGTTCAGTCAGAGTATACAGGGGAAACATCCCGAAGTGGTCTTGAGAATGTAGTTGCTAAAGTGCCTTTATTGAGCAAGGGGCCAACATCTGATTACAGTCCTGCTAAACTGTTACTTAATGGGGTTGGCTGGTCAATTCCGCAATCACAGGGAATTAGAAGCTCTAAAAACTTGATGCCTCAGAGACGTTTGGCCAATGCTCATCAGAGTTCTGTTCAAACACATGAATCAGCTTCAAACCATATCAAGAGTGAACCCTGGTTTTGGTTCCCTGTTCCAGCTGCTAGCTGGGATGGTTCTGACCTCCTTGGACGCTTTGGGGGTCCTAAAGATGAATTTCCATGGAAGATAAGAGCATCTGTTTTATCCTCGGTTCATGCACATCAAGGGGCCTTGAGATCTTTAGCAGTTTGCCAAGATGAGAATACAGTTTTCACTGCAGGCATTGGTCCCGGGTTCAAAGGAACTGTTCAGAAATGGGATTTGGCAAGAATAAACTGTGTATCTGGATATTACGGACATGAGGAGGTTGGCTATTCTGTAATTATGTTAGATGTTATGTTTATGAACTCGGATATGCTCTGTTATTTCTATTATCATGTTGACATTAAGTTCTTATGATTGATATATTTTATGTGTTACTATAAGTTAGAGGGGATAAAGAATGCATAGGTTTAGATATTGCGGCAAGAACATACTATTTTGCTAAATATCTACTTTAAGATATGCAATATACTGCTTTCTTGTCTAGTTATGCCATGATATGAACGTAATTTATTAATCTGTTAGGTTATTCTCTCTTTGGATATGATGCGTTTAGTATTGCATAGTGACCATTTTCTGATGAGTCATATTCATCTAGCAGTTGATGAACAAGCTGAAGAGACAAAGTTCTTATTTACATTTTTGTCCATATTCTTTGGCTAAGCTTGGATTTTCAATCCCAGTCTGATATTTGTTAGCTTAGTGTGGTTATTCTGATTTCTCTAATTGCTTATGGAACTATCAGGTTGTAAATGACATATGCATCTTGTCAATGAGCGGAAGAATAGCATCTTGTGATGGAACAGTGCATGTTTGGGATAGCCAATCAGGGAAGCTAATAACAGTATTCTCAGAACCATCCATGGATTCCCTGCATCTTGTGAGCCCTTCAGCTTATTCAACAAAGATCAGTGCTGATCATGTTGATATGTCGAATTCAAACAAATCTTCAAGTGGGGTACTTGGTAGTCCGTTTGATGAAAGCTTGTACACGTGTATGCATTATCTAGAGCTTGTTGAAAAGCTCATGGTCGGTACGGGAAATGGTTCTCTCAGGTAGCTACTTACAAATAAGAGACATTCAATTGTTAAATTCAGCTTATTTATGTAAATAATCTTGTTGTAGTGCCCTTTATTTTGCGTATTACTACTGACAAAAGCCATGAATTTTACTGTAATTCACTCTTATTGATCGTGTAGGAAACTTACAATTATATATACAAGCCTAGGCCTTATCTTAGATAACTTCTAAACTAGGTAAGAGTCTAATTCTAGTAATAAAAACAATCCCTTAGGAGTAATATAATTTTTAAGGCACTCTTCCTCCCTCTACTGATTAAGGAGCTTATTATCAAGCTCCGTTAATCAAGGAGGAGGTTTTTAATGAGGCCTGTTATTCCTATAAAAAGAAAACAATCCCTTAGATTTAGGGATACTAACTAAATAGAATATTTACAAATCCAACTCAATCTCCTTAACTTAGGTAACTAATCTCTGACACTCCCCCATCACGTTGGGAGCATGGATATCGTCCATCCTCAGCTTGCCTGTTAACTTCTAAAAATACTTTCCAGGTAGACCCTTGGTAAGTATGTTTGCAACTTGATCTCCAATGGTCACATAGGGAGTACAGATCAGGCCACTGTCAAGTTTCTCTTTTCTGAAATGTCTATCCACTTCAACATGTTTTGTTCTGTCATGTTGAATTGGATTATTAGCAATGTTGGTTGCTGACTTGTTATCACAGTAGAGTTTCATTGGTCCATTCCACTTTACCTTCAAGTCTTCTAAAATAATCTTCAGCCATAATAACTCACAAATTCCCAATGCCATAGCTTGAAATTCTGCTTCTGCACTTGATCTAGCCTCCATATTTTGTTTTTTTCTTCTCCAAGTAACTAAGTTTCCTCCAAAGAAAGTGCAGTAGCCGGAGGTTGTCCTTCTATCAATTATGGATCATGCATAATCTGCATCCGTGTATGCTTCCAAGCTTGTGATTGACTTCTATAGGAGTTTCTGCTTGTTTACATCCTAGTTTTCCAGTTTCCTTCAACAAGTTCAAAGTATACTTCTGCTAAGATATGAAAATCCCTTGCTGTGAGTGAGCCACCTCAATACCAAGGAAGTATTTTAATCTTCCAAGGTCCTTCACTTCAAACTCTTTTATAAGACACTTCTTTAAATTACCAATTCCTTCATAATCATTACCTGCAACAATTATATCATCCACATACACCAACAATGCAATTACTCCCCCTGAAGGAGAGTATTTCACAAACAGAGTATGATCACCTTGACTCTATTTGAAGCCTTGTTTTACCATTACTTTAGTAAATCTCCCAAACCAAGCTCTTAGGGATTGTTTTAGTTCATAAAGAGCTTTTTTCAATTCACACACTGCCTGTCCTGTATTCGAACCAAATCCGGGTGGAATATCCATATAAACTTTTTTAAGGTCCCCATGCAAGAAGACATTCTTGATGTCAAGCTGCTGCAAATTCCATCCCTGAATAGCTGCTAAGGACAGTAGGATCCTCACTGTGTTCACCTTTGCAACAGGAGCAAAAGTTTGAAGTTAGTCAATTTCATAGGTTTAAGAGTACCCCTTTGCCACCAATCTTGCTTTGTACCTTTCTAGAGAACCATCTGACTTATGCTTGACTGTAAATACCCATTTGCATCCCATTGCTTTTTTCTCGTCTGGCAGCTTCACTAAATCTCATGTCTTATTCTTCTCTAGCGCCTCCATTTCCTCTTTCATAGCCTTTTTTCAGTTCTCATTTTCTAATGCCTCAGATGCTAGTAAAGGTTTTTTGATTGGGGGATATGTTTTTGTAGGTCATAAACATATAAGTAGTATGTTTGGTGGTGCAGGTTCTTTTTCCTTTTCTAATAGTAATGGGAAATTCAAAATCAGAAGCAAATATAATATTTTCAGCATCACTTTGTTCAGAAGGAGTTTCAGTGTATCTCAAATTGTATAGGAGCAGGAACAGGAAAAGGGGATGATTGAATATGCATAGATGCCTTCTTCCTCGAATAGACCCTTAGGGGACAAGTAGTGTCCTGAATATTGGGTTGTGGTGTATTAGTGTTTGGCTGAGGAGTAGAAGTTTGAGGAGTATTAGGTTCTGAGTGGGGAGAGGATGGAGTAGAAGCAAGCTGTGTTTCTGTAGAATGTATAGGTGTAGGTGTAGGAAGATCAACAAGGGGCTGAAGTAAAAACAAATCTACATCCTTATCTTCCCTAAATGATATATCCCCTGAAGATAAGGAACTGTAAAATAACTCTCTTTTTCCACAAAAGTGACATCAGCAGAAGTGTAGTATTTTCTTGTAGGAGGGTGGTAGCACTTGTAGCCCTTTTGAGTGGTGGAACACCCAATAAAAATGCATTTCAGTGCCCTTGGATCAAGTTTCCCTCGACCTTGAAAATGAATGTGAACAAAAGCAACACACTCAAATACCCTTGGTTATAGGTTAAGAGATAGGCTGAAATTTGGAAAGAACTTTGTATGGGTTTGAAGGGGACTTTGGGATTCAGGGACTTTAGTGGGTAGTCTGTAAGTGGCAGTTAACACAGTGTTCCTCAGTACCTTTTAGGGACGTTGTTTTGAAATAAAAGGGCTCTAGTTATGGCAATAAGATGTTCATTCTTCCTTTCTGCTACCCCATTCTGTTGGGGAGTAGCTACACAAGAGGACTCATGTATAATACCTCTTTCTAAGAAATAAGGAGATAGGACTTGATTAAAGTAGTCATTGGCATTGTCTGATCTGATTCGTTTTATTTCAGCCCCAAACTGAGTCTTGATCATGGTGTAAAAGGTTTTAAAAGTTGAGGTAGCATCATACTTTTGTTTTAGTAGATAAATCCAAGTAACCCTAGTACAATCGTCTATTAAAGACACAAAACATCTAGCCCCAGTTATGTTAGAAAATAGTGGAAGGCCCCCAAACATCACTGTGAATAAGGGTAAAGGGATCGTTGGTCCATTTATTACTTGTTAGAAAAAATGAACGTTTATGCTTTGCAAATTCACAAACTTCACAATGAAATTCTTCAACATTTAAGGAATTACACAATGAGAGAAACATAGTTTCTAAGATTAAAGACAAAACATCTAGCCCCAGTTATGTTAGAAATAGTGGAAGGCCCCCAAACATCACTGTGAATAAGGGTAAAGGGATCGTTGGTCCATTTATTACTTGTTAGAAAAAATGAACGTTTATGCTTTGCAAATTCACAAACTTCACAATGAAATTCTTCAACATTTAAGGAATTACACAATGAGAGAAACATAGTTTCTAAGATTAAAGACAAAAAACATCTAGCCCCAGTTATGTTAGAAATAGTGGAAGGCCCCCAAACATCACTGTGAATAAGGGTAAAGGAGACCGTTGGTCCGTTTATTACTCGTTAGAAAAAATGAACGTTTATGCTTCGCAAATTCACAAACTTCACAATGAAATTCTTCAACATTTAAGGAATTACACAATGAGAGACAGTTTCTAAGAGTTTAAAAGGTGGGTGACCAAGGCGAAAGTGATGTAGCCAGTATTGGTCTTTATTGGTTGTAGATTCGGATAAAAAAGACGATGGTTGAGTATTCAAAACTCTAGCTGGTTCACTAAGGTCTTTAAGGTAGTATAGGCCATTCATTTTCCTAGCACGCCAATAATCCTCTTCGTTTCTTGCTCCTGAAAAATACATTGTATATGATGAAATAAAACACTGCATTTAGTGTCTTTGATAAGCTTAGGAATAGAGATAAGACTAGTAAATAGTTTTGACACATGTATGACATTTTTAAGCAATAGGGTTTTACTGATGGTAATATCTCCTTGGCCAACAACCGTTACCATAGTACCATCTGCAACTGTGATCTTCTTGTTGCTAGGGTAGGGTATGTAGGTGAGGAATTTTAGTGATAAATTAGTCATGTGATCAGTGGCTCCTGAGTCAGGTAGGTATGTGGGTAGATGATTCCAAGGCATTAGAAGTCTGAGAAGAGGAAGAACATATACCTGAGAAAACTAGATTGCATGTACCTGTAGAGGATGATTTTTCTAAGGATTCCTGTAGGTTCTTCAATTTTTCTACTTTTTCCCGGTTGAATTCAACAGATTGTTCTTCAAACTCCTTAGCCACATGTTTAGTTGCATAAGCTCTGCTTTGTCCTCTTGCTGAGTCTCCTTTCTCTGTAAAATTCTTATTTGCAGTATGAGGTTTTCCATGTAACCTCCATCACTTCTCTTTGGTGTGGCGAGGTTTTTTGCAGTAAATACACCATAAGGAGTCCTTGTTAACCGTCCTTGTTCCTTTTGATCTGCCTTCAATATTCTGTTGCTCCAGACGATTTGGTCCTTCAGAAACAACCCTAGTAACCAAGGCTGAACTTTCTACTTGATTGTTTTCAACCACCATCACTCCTCTTCTTCCTTCTTCATCACGAATGATAGCAATAGTTTCATTTAGTGAGGGCAGTTCATCTTTTCCTATAATCTGGACCCTCTTTAGAATTGTTGCATCCTCAATGCATTTCATCTGAATGCATTGATAATGGTCCATTTCCTGCCACAGATTCTATAGCATATTAGAATACTCTGTAATCGATTTGCTTCCTTTTTTAGTGACTGAAATCTTGCTCTTGATTTTGTAAATATGAAAAGCATCTCGAACCTTCGAATAAGTTTGTTTTACAACCTCCCATATCTCCTGGGCTGCTCCAAGAAACATGCAGGTGTCACTAATTTCAGGCACCATTGAATTCTACAACCAAGACATAACCAATGAGTCTTGTTCATCCCAAGCCTCAAATCTATGATCTCATTCCTTAGGACCCGTTTCGAAGAGATGACTAAGTTTACCTCTCCCTTTTAGAAAAGTCCGAACCTATTGTGACCACTTAAGGTAGTTTTTTTTGTTCAATCTATATGCGGCTTGTATGTTTTGTAAGTCACTTATCAAATTAGGGTGACTTCCCTCACCCATTGTGCCTCCTGGAACAGCTTATGTACTATTGTAATCACCCGTATCGTCTATATTTTGTTGATCAGGTGTCATACTCTCTTAAGAAATAATAACTAAGAAAAAAACGCTCAACAAGAAGATTAAGACCCAAAAACAAGTAGCTCTGATACCATGACAAAAGGCATGGATTTTACTGTAATTCACTCTTATTGAACGTGTAGGAAACTTACAATTATATATACAAGCCTAGGCCTTATCTTAGGTAATTTATCTCTGACAACTACATGCGACAGATTTATTGATGTTTCTCAAGGTCGAAAGCTTCATTTATGGAAGGGTGAATTCAGTGAATCTGCTTTTCCTTCTCTTGTCTCTGCCATATGCTCATGTGGGTCTGACAAAGAGAGAGGGAATGGAGCTTCCGCTTCACCAAGTTGGATTGCAGCCGGATTAAGTTCAGGTCACTGTCGACTATTTGATGTGAGGAGTGGATGCGTTATTGCTTGTTGGAGGGCTCATGATGGATATGTCACTAAGGTATATGCTTAATTCACCGAATTATAGGAACAAAAGAACTTAAACTTGAAATGTGGCTACAGTAATACATTTACATATGTGCAGCTGGCTGCCCCAGAAGATCATCTACTAGTTTCTAGCTCTCTTGACCGGACTTTGAAGATTTGGGACTTAAGAAGGTAATCATTGAAATTGAAATCTAATGTGTTAACTATTGAAATAACTGTAAGGTTTCATTAGAAATATTTTGCAATTGGGTTGATATCCTTGTATATTTTGTTTGCTTCCCTAATTGTTTCTCGTAGAAACTTGCCGACGCCCGTCACTTTCAAGGGACATACTGATGGAGTATCCAGTTTCTCGGTGTGGAGGCAGGATGTTATTTCAATATCCAAAAATAAGATTGGACTTTCCTCGTTAGCTAGATCTGCTGATGAAGTACGTAAACAACACTATACTTTCTCATTCAATTTGCATAAGCTTTTGATGTTATTTGCACTGGTAGTGGATGCCTCCTCTTTGCGATATGAATCACCACGAGTAACCATTTTTATCAATCTCCTTATTTGGTGCATATATATGTATATATATACATGGGATAAGATCTAATTACTCAATGCAAATTTTTTTTAGTTTTACATAGATTTAGGACTGTCGGATGAGTGAAAATAGACAACTTAGATCAACAGTAGAAAATGAGAAGGTATTCACGAAAAAAAAACGAGTTAATCTCAACCATCTATATTCATTCATCTAACGGTCTTAAATCTGTGTAACTTAAAAAGTTTCACATTGTGTAAGTGGATCTTAACTATATATATATATATGTACACACACATATAAATAGGTTAACTTCCACTTTTACATTTTTAGGATCGTTTAATGAGTAGAAGCAGAGGGTTGAGATTATCTCTTTTTTTTTTGCAGTGAATGTAATCTCATTTTCTACTGTTAATTTCAGCAATCTATTTCCACTCATCCAACAATCTTAAAAAGATGTAAAACTAAAAAGTTTTACACTAAACAAATCTCTCTCTATGTGTTTATGTAAAAGAAAGTTTTCCCAAAATGACAGTGAAAAACATTTGGCAGGACGAGCAACATCGAATTATACCTCAGAAACTGTATACATCAGATCATGGAGGTCGGAATATGTCGGTGCTGTCAAGTATAAGTATAATACCCTTCTCGAGACTGTTTCTAGTCGGGACTGAAGATGGTTATCTCAGAATCTGTTGTTAGATGGGAGATGAGATGAATCATCATTGATTGTAGTTTTGTGCAATGCAACGAGGAAAGTTCATTCAAAATGATTCTCTTCCCCCCCCCCCCCCCGGAAATATACGGTCTCAGCTCTGAATAGAAGTCCAAATTGTTCCATGTTAGGAATAGGAGCACATGTGTAGTACCCATCTTTGCTGTCTTTATCTGAATGGTAAGTTCATATTTTTTTTTCTGAATTTCCATGATTATTCCAAATTCTTGCTACATTACCCATCTTTGCTTTATTAAACAAATTCTCTTGCTGTTGCAGATATGCAATATTTATAATACCAAGGGACGGACAAGCATTATCTTATTTTAAAGGGTCGAATTTTAGAATGGAAGAACTTTTAAAATTTTAAGGGATGAAAATAGATTTTCAATAAAACATACATAGGAAAAAAATTATGAAACATATGATAATTTTAAATTTTGACTGCCTCCCTCGATCAAAGGAATAGTTCCCATAAGTGCCTTCTTTGCATCAAGTCTTTGGTGAGCACTTAATTGTGTTAAGACTGAACTTGTTTCATGTGTGATATATGGTATGAATCGTCTTGTGTAATCAGTCACTTCTGTCGGTCACAAACGCAAGCATATTGCTTGAAAACCAAAATAGAAGACAAGCAGGCAGATCTCTTTTGGAAAATGAATGCTTCCCTTTTTGCTTACATCATGATATTCTAATTAGGTTAAAAAATACTTTTTCACACAAAATATTGTTTTTGGAATATATATGATAGCATGGAGAGTTCAACCTAATTTGATTATTTAAAATTTATTAATCGATTAATAAATAAATGAAACATAAAATCCCTATACATAAATAAAATTCTGCTTCCTCGACATATAAACATATTATTTTGAATCTATGTTTTCTTGAGAAAAATAATCTATAGCATAAAATAAGTAACCTACTTATTCATACCGGAATTCCCTGAATCAATCGACCAATTAATCAAGCTTCTGTGGACACCAGGGCATGGCCTTGAGGAATTCCCAAGTCATTTGCCAGCTTTGTACACAACTGCAATTGTATGTATCACATTTTAATTTTTGGATTAAATTGATAAGATCAGTGAACTAAGCGGTAGAAATTAATTGTACCTGTCTATAAATTGTAGGATCACCATGTGATTTTCTTAGTTCAACTACATACAATGAAGGGCTTATCTCAAACACCTGACATACATAGTTAATCACCATTAAACCTGGATAGAGTGATCACAACAGATTTGCTCATATTCTAACAAAGGAGTTTACCTCGGCTGCAACTGAAAGACTGCCGAGACGTTTTTGGCCTCTGGGTTCTTGTGTTGCTTTCAGCTAAACAAAGCAACATTCAAGATCTTTAGTTATTGTTGTCATTACTATGAAGCATATATACCAAGGCATAATGTTAAAAATGCCCCTATTATTTAATTGCGTAGTCACTTTCGTTCATATTCTTTTTTTAGAGCACTTTGGTCTCCCGATGTTTTATTTTGGAACAAAATGTCCCCTAGTTAGATGAAAATCATTGGTTGATTAACAGTCAACATTTGTCGCTAATGTGAGACCGTCACGTTACCACTTTCGACATGTGGCATGTACCCCATCATCACTATCGACACATGATGTGACACATCATCAATTGTGATACATGATATGTGTCGCATTATCACTTTGGACACGCGATAGTTTCTCATCAGCGGCATATGTTGATCATTAATCAACTAATGATTTACATACCGTCAGAGAACATTTTACCTCAAAATGAAGTGTTGGAGGCCGGAGTACTTTAAAAATTTGGAACCAAAGTAATAGACGTTAGGGGTGAATTTTGACATTATGTCATATACCAAATCCTCTTTGTTCTTATGAAACTGACGAAAACGCATTGGGAAAGTAGTGAGTGCATCAAGCAACAAACCTTCCCGTTTCTCATTTGGACTCGAAATCCCATCTCTGTAACCGTGTCCTGGATCCTTGCAAGCAAATCATTACCCGAGAGATTGGATGTAAATCTGATCTTCCTTTCAGAGACATCCTGCAATCGCATAGTTGGAAAAGTTGGGTGATCAAAATTATAAAACAATGAAACAAAAGTGACTACAAATGTAATTTACTCTAAATTCAATGACCGTAAATGTTATTGCTAGATAAAATTCCCCATCATCAAAATTAAAGTTCAATGAACTGTAAAAAGTTTTTTAATTTCGGGCTTACCTCCTTCTCAAAGAACCCAGAAAGGTCTAGGCATGAAGACATTCCTATCAACTGGAAAGCATTAATAAAAGAGGGTGATTCTTGACTCCTCCCATCACACCCCTTCATCAAAATAGTGTTTCTCTCCGTCATGTTCCAAATTTGCAAAAAACAGGACTCATCCAAGATTTAAGAATAAAAAATGTTTGGAGCTCATACCACTTCACACATCGAGAAGGCTTCGTCATCAATGTATATATCTTCGTCGTCATCGTCGTCGGGTATTGCAGGAGTATAGTCTTGCTTGAACCATCCATCTTCCTTGATACCCGCCATTGTTATCCTGGTTTCAGGGTTTGGATCAAGTATCCTTCTTATCATGTTCCGAGCTCCAGGTGATAACCATTTTGGAATCGGAGGATCCCCTTTGAAAATCTGAAATCCAAATCTCTCAACATAATTGTTCATTGGAGTTGCTAAGAAAAATATACATATATATTTAAGCCCAAAGTAAGCATTGGGAATACCTTTTGATACAGAACTGCAAGATTTCTATCATCAAAAGGGAGATATCCTGTGAGAATTACATATAGGATGACCCCGCATGACCATATGTCTGAAGTGGCACCATCGTATCCTCTATTTGCCAGAATCTCTGGTGCAACGTAGTTTGGACTTCCACATGTTGTGTGTAGTAAGCCGTCCTCCTGGAAATTCAAAATAGAGTTATTTCAAAAGGACTTTTCTTTTTATAAAAAAGATGGGTTATTTTCTTGTTTAGAATAAAGCACTTCATGTACCCTAATATGTTGAGGCAATGCACTGAGACCAAAATCAGATATCTTTATGTTCCCTTTTGCATCAATCAGAACATTTTCCAGCTGAAATATATAAAGAAAGAGAGAGAAAAAACAGATTTTAGCCTAATAACACTATTGGTGATGGAAAGAAGAGAGGAGAAGACAAAACCTCATAGCCTAATAACATGTAACTTTTTTTATTTATTGATTTAACCAATCAAATACATGATATGCTTAGAGGTGATGAAAGGACCTTAAGATCCCTGTGGAAAATGCCTTTGTTGTGACAGTAACTAACACCATCAATTAACTGCTGGAAGAAATGCCTTCCGTCAGCATCTGAAAGCTTCCCTTTGGATGCCTGTTTATTTGATACAAAACAGATAAGCAAAAACAAAGCAGTGTAACTAATTTAACATTACTGCAGCACCAAAGTAATTTCAAGCAAGCCCTTACAATTCTGACAAACAGTTCCCCTCCAGTAGCGTACTCTAGGACCATGTAAATCTTGGTTTTGCTTGCCAATAACTGCATGTTTATTATAAGCAAAGGCATCATTCGAGCAGTTCACTGTAGTCTGTAGCTGATATAGACTTGATAAAATGAAAATCAACAACTCTATAATCATATGATTATAATTATCATAATAAACAATACATGTGTATTTAAAAAACGAACTAAATAAATAAATAAACCAGTTTTTGTATTAACTTTGTTATGAAATTTCTATCGGTATTAGATAATGTATTGACATTCATTCTTAAAGTTCTATCTTCATTACAACTATTTACTTTTAGCATAATTTTACTGCCCGAGAGTCATATTTTAATAAAAACCATACAACTCAATTTAAAATACATGTATAGATTTGTTGTTGTGAAATGGCAAAGGAAGGACTTGAATAAAAATGACAGCACTAGAGACAGGTGCATGTTTTTATATTAAGGGGTGAGCTTTTAAAATTAGGAGGGAATAAACTTATAAAATTTAAAGGAACGAAAATATAAAAAAAATATATAAAATATATAATAATTTTAAAATTTTCTCAACTGCCCCATCCCTCGACACCATCATGGAAACGCTTATCACGGCTAATATTGGTGGGCGCAGATATATATAATTACCGGGGCTCGCCACCTTTCAGCCCTTGAATATGTGATTGTAGCTAGTCCCCAGTTGGCGGGCGATTTGCCCAGTTGGCAAGTATTTATATGATTTGATAGTAGCTTTGGGAATTTCGCGGAAAAATACCTAAAAAGGTGTGGATGTATAAGATACAGCAGTCTTAATATATTATTAAAGAAAAATATTATCAAAAATATTAATATTCTTTTAATATTTTCGGTAAAATATTATCTAAAATATTATTTTTTCTATCAGAAATATTAATATTGGGCACTACCTAAAATATTAGTTTTTCTACCGAAAATTAAGTAGCGAAATTAACATTTTCGGTAAGAAAATAATATTTTAGGTAATGCTTTACCGGAAATGTTAAAAAAATATTAACATTTTCAGCAGAGTCTTTCCTTAGCCGTATATTAAAGCTATCGTACAACAAAACTATCCAAAAAGGTGTTTTCCTTTTTTATTCTGATTTATCTTATTTTAATTACTAACTTTAAAAAATATTTAGTCACTTATGTTATCGACTGTCTTATTTTGATCAGTAAATCATTAATTACCATTAATTTGATGATGTGGTAAGTTAACAAAAAAGAAGTTAATTTCAAATAAAAAAAAGTTAATTTCAAATTTGACATTTGAACTTTTAGAATTTATTTTTTTCACCATCTTCCGAAAAAAATAAACCAACTTATCCCGAAAAATTTCTCTCCTCTATTACTAGACGTCACCGTTGCTATTGTCGATACTGCCATCTTCATCCATCGCACGTCCCATATCCAAACCCCAACGCCTTTGCACCTTCACCCTTCGTAGCCTTATAAAGGGTGCAGGGGGTGTGAATTTATAAGGGAGGGCATACAAGCGCACATGTGGCAAATTAAAGGGCATGGGTGTTCAATTGACCAATGCTACTACAGTGTCTAGGTCTACCAAGACTCGGGTGGTGGCTTAATTGATTCTAGATGTGAGGGCAGTCAGCATTGTTCCGAGAGGTTTCAATCGAATTCGAGTTAAGCAATAGAGAGAGATAATGCCTAAGGGGACGATTGATGGGGGTTATGACTAGGGCATCTTGCATGATGTGATCTAGTGAAGAGATGGTTTGTGCTTTGAACGAGAGAGAACATTGAGGGGTTCGTGATACTTGATGACAGTCGATGAGTTTTAAAATGGCAGGAAAGTGAGGTCTGACTGACGAAGACGACGGTTTGGGATTTTGGTTATTTAAGTGACCAACGAGGTTAGTTG